TCTTCAGCACCCTCAACTTATAGGGATGATGGCCAGCAGGCAGCAGTACATCCGCACCACTGCACTGTCCTGCGTTCGTTGTGTTAGGAGTCGTACCTGGGCAAAGAACATAGGGAGTTTTGTGCTGACACAGATATGTGCCACTGAATGACTGGGGTCCAGACCCCGCTCCCGGAAGGTCTGGATAAGATGGAAATGGCCTTTGAGTCCAAGTTACAGAAGGAGCATGCAGCATGTTGGCAGAGCACGCATCCGAGTCAAGCTGCATGAACATCTTTGTGACCGGCTGCACGGCCTCCGTCGCAGATTCGCAAAGTCCTCCTTCAGCATGAATCTCCCGCAGCCACGTCAAGTCTTGGGAAGCATCCTCTTTCGTGCAAGGCACAGCAAGACCAGGACATCCGCATGTAAAGGAAGCAGAGTCCCATGCCAGATCTGACGGGTGCGTTCGCATGTCGAAAACGCGACACTTGACTAACGGCGCGGAGTCGTCTTCCGCGGCTGCAGAACAACAAAATTCAGCGTCGTGGTTTTTCCAAATCCGCTCTATCGGGGTTGCCTGGCCCACTATAGTGAACGGGAGAAAAGCATACCTTCTCCAGCATCAGTGTCCGCGGAGCCGTCGTCAGCCTGATTACTTTCAGCTGAGATCGCATAACAATGCATTAGCGTAATCAAGTTCCCCACCTATATTTGTTGCCCTACTCCCTCGCCGCTAAGGGGAGATTTGCAACCTTCACAGCTTCGGATTTCCAACAAGGCACTTTGGTCCAAGCTAAAGTAAACGAGGTATGAGAAGGGAAGTGCAAGGTGTATCTCTTTGGAGAAAAACTGTTTTAATGGAGCACGATTCTGAAGTGTCCCATCATGCACAACTTTTGCTTCAGGTGTTCGCGCTGTTCTCTGAAACTACCCCGAATAATATTACATTGTTTTGCTCGCTCACTCGGAGAAGTGCAAAATTCAGAAAAGTTGGCAGGCATACGCCATTCGAGACAATACAGAGGATGCGAAGCTGCTGAACAATAGAGGTGGTATATGCCGGAACAATACTCGGTGCACTGCTCATCCGTCATTGAACTGCCCTGGAAAAAAACGAATTTCGCATTCTGTTACAACCTGCACTGTTATCACCTCAAAAATACACATATGTTTCTTGCGTAGCAACTAACCCACTACCCCTGCTGTTCTATAGTCGGCCCTGCAGTCACCTCCGCAGCCTTGATATTGCAGATGCTACTTGATACTGAACGCGCAGAGCAGTACACACACAACAACTAACGAAAACAATGTCCCTGTGACTTGAGATCGACAGCACATCCTTTTTATATGGCCTTCTTGAGCAACCGGTCAAGCGCGCCGTCTGTGCTTACATGATGATCCGCTTAACTGGTTTACTGCAACAGCACAGCACAAGTGCAATATAGACGCCTGGGCAATTCCCACGTAACCACATCTACCCTCCACCCCTTTTATTTACACGGCAACTCCCAAGTGGGGGGGAGCGTTTTGTTCGGCCACAGTACATGGGGTCGAAGTCTACATGCTATTTCAGTGTTTGTTTGGCATGCGTTCCGCAAGCGTACTCCACAGCCCTTCGTATCGTCGTACCAGCAGAGATGTACAAGCCTTTAAGCTTCATAGTTGAGGTGGAAACCTTGTACAAAACTTCTTCCGTAAAAGAGCATGATGAAGCCCATATTGTAGGCATCCAACCACGGCCGTCCTCTTTGGACTGCCACTGTACAGAAAAAATTTCCTCCTTGTCCCCAGCAACTTGTGGGAAGAAGTGGGGTTGGAAGAACGTCGGAAAATTCTCTGGAAAGTGAATAGTACCCGTATCGAAGTCCTGTGAGTTGAATATCTGCAGGGAATAGCCATATTCGCATGCCCCCCAACCACGTGCTCTTCCCGCAGTTCCGTCACAACAGTTGATCAGGCAACACAGAGTGACATAATGAGGCTTGTATGTCGACTTCTATACAGTGTCTATTTGCGCTTAGTCGTGCTAGCGCGGCTCAGCTCTTAGCTCACAGCAAGCGAACGTCCGCCTAAAGACGCAGCAAGCGGGCTGCTTGTGGAACTGTCGTCGGATGCAGCAGCAACCAAGTAGCCCACGGATATCGAGGTAAACGGCTCCACGCATGAAACCCGAATTTTAAGTCCCGCGGAAGTATTCTCAATTATGCTGAATGCAAGTGCAGCTGCGATCGCCTGAGGGGATTTTCCTGTGGCGGATTGAGGCTCCAAAAGGACAACGGCCTGAGGGAACACTCATATCTCCTCCACGTGCAGCAGTATTTCTCCAGTAGCGAACATCCCACTGGACCCAAAAATTGCCCCCCGACTCCTTAAGGGATCCTTCAAAGCGAGAGAACCCCTTTCCGTTGAGCGCGAACAGCAATATGGATTGGAGATCCACAGGTCACCACTACTGTACCTGTGAAGGATCCGGCATCTCGAATGGGATGCGCAAGGAAAAGTCGCCGTCACCTGTTACATCGAAGCTTCCAACCACCACGTTAATGGAAGAATGCTTTGTGACATACTGGCCTGCAGGTATTGCTAGGTAGCTTGCCACAATTTTCAGATCAGGCGAAGCTGCCGTAGGTCGAACTGAGGGAAAAACGAAAGATACACTCAGCAACGGAATATTCCAATACTCAGCAGTGAAATATTCAACGTTGTGGGATGATTATCATGTCGAAAGTCGTGTGTACGTGAAAGTTTCAAGGTTGCCAGCCTACCGCCGCACACGACGCCAAAAGTCTGGACTCTAAAGCTGTCCGACGTAACCTGGGAGACGGCCAGTCTTGGTATACCTGCTATAGGTGTAGGCGACCCTATGAAGACAATCGGTGTGGGATAGACTGGTTGGGCAAAACGAACCGTTGTTTCCGTGCCACTGGCCAGCACCCAAGATGCTGCCATATTTGCAGCTGCAGCAAGCGGACACGATTCAAGCGGCTTTAGCGCAATAGGATCAAGTATATATTTACGGTTTAACAATGCAACACAGGACGCAGGAGGCTATGTGGATCCTCCCAACTTTTCTCCAGCAGAACATACCTCCAGCCGTAGGTGTTTGGTGAACTGAGAGTATACACAACGCAAATCGGTGGCATGCTGCATGTCTTATCCCTTCTCCCTCAACAAACGCTCCGCGAAATTGGGGGATAGCCCTCACAGCTCGAGAGGGAATAGGGGGGTTGAGCAATCCAGTGTCAGCGTCTCACTCGTTGCGACATCGCAGAACTCTAGAATTGTGCCAACCTTCAGCGTCTCATAACACTGCAGAAGGTCCTTGTACAGGGTCGGCTGGTCAATCATGGTAAAGCGGCACTTCCATTCAATGTTCCCACAAATATATATGCAGTGGAAAGTGCTTGCCTTGCTGGGATCCACCGGCGTGGCAGTGCCACAGTCCGGTGCCAGAGAACCTGCGTGAATAATTAATGATAGCCACACAGGGCATGGCATCCAAGAGGGATACAAACCTATGCGGTGTTTCTGTGTGCATATAAGTTGCGCTCTCACCTCTCCGTGATTTCAGGTCCGTATCTGGGCCTGCACGATTCACACACACCAACCAACTACTCCGCGCCTCATCACAAGGCGAGACACCGAGGTGTGGCCCGAACTGCCAACTACCCTGTAGACAAGACTTGCAGATGCCCAGTGGAACAGCCTACCCAAGCAGAAGACTCCTCTTATCCATGTACGTTGCTCGCACTTGCCATACTGAGGCCCTGCTTCGTAACGCCACGATGATGGGGCTAACGGCCAGAGAGCGCGGTTGTTCTTCGCCACAATGACTCCGCTGGCACCCTTCCAAAACTGTGATAGAGTGGGTTTCCACGCATACGCTGTTGCTTCAGCCTCTAAAAATGTACAAGGGCCTAAGTCAGAATTAGGGCATGTGCAAGTGCCTCTATGTGAGTCTTCAGGTCCAGGCACCTCAATATGGCATGCATATGAGTTGCTGTTGGGGATGTAACACCCCTGTATGGAGAGAGCGACGCACAACCAGGTGTTGCGAACTGCTGCACACTCTCCGCTACTCATTTCTGAGCACGCTGATCTGCATTTTAAATCATCTTCTTCTCTCGCTCCCTCCAAAGTTGAGAATGCCTTATCACACACTGGCCCTGCAAACGCAAACAGCTCGCATCCCAAGCAGGCAATCCGTCTGCATAGGTAACAGAGTTTCTAACTGCAAGAGGAGGTAGTGTGCACAATTAAACAATGTGCAGGACAGGCATAGCAGCTGACAACTTCTAAGCCTAAGGTACTCGGAGGAATGGTGCTGAGCCCGAAAGGAGAAGTGCTGTCGATCCAGGGTCTTACATCTAATGGGCCAACTGTCAACGTCCCTATCCTCGGGAACATCTGTGTCAGGGAACAGCACTAGCACACAACTGCTGCCTCAATACGTAGCCTCTTCACGGATAGGAGATGCTCTGCTTGTATTGAGTAATGCAAATTCCACATACGGTCAAAGCAAAAGAACCATGAACTTGTCCCCATTGTGCACATATGCGTTGAAGATCCGGGATATATTCACTGGCGTGCGTCTACGAAAAAGAGTCAACCGCCGTCACATCGTGAGTCTAGCGATCGGAAATATAATAAGAAGTACAGTATGCAACTTACCTTCACATAATACATAAGAAGCATCCGTGTCCCCGCAAAAGGAACCCGGATCATCCATCAAAACCAATGACCCAGTTCCGGATTCGGAAGTTTTGTAAACAATGTAATCCGCCAGGCTAACAATTGCATTTTGTGGGGTGTTTGCAATCCAGCTCCGGCTGACAGCTGCGGCATTGGGCGAGCAGGGCGCCGCACTATTCGGGCATGCACACGAATAGTTGTCGGGGTCCACGGCCTTTGCTGTAACCTTGTAAAGGTTGCATGAAATAGAAATTGATTCGGCAGCCATGGATATATCTGAAAATTCAAGCAGACACCGATCTAATTCTGAAACGTGTTTTGCCCTGTTTTGCTCGTACATCCGCAACGTGCAAAATAGGACTGTTGGGACAGGTCGAATCCAGAATTAGCGAAGACACGGAGCCCTTACTTGGGGAACAGTTCCAAGATACAAAGTATGTTGTGTCGGCCATCGGGCAGGTGGCAGCTGTCGTCTGAACACCTACGAGAGATACTTTGTGGGTTCGCACGTTCCCAATTATAAAATCTTCAGGCAAAACTTTCTTGACGCGGCTTGTGATTTCGACTGCAGGGCAGTCGTTGATCCTCTCGCCATCTTCAAGTAGCTCCCTACGTCCAGCGACAACTTGCACTAACGCCCACCGCTCATAATCAGCGCAGAGGTTTTCAAGTGTCAGCGAGTTGTCCTTGCCACTTTCCATTATTTGATAAAACTCTGAAAGGAAAAGCAGCATTGAAAGCAACTCCTCAGATGACCCCCACAAGTGTAGCCGCATTTGGTGGCTGGAGGATCATTATAATACCTCCTCCTCCCTGCTTTGGCTGCGCTCTCAGAGTCGCCCTTGTGTGACAACGGTTTGCTAACGGGACACTGACCGCTCTGGGTTGTGTCTTCATATTCCCATCGTTTCTCTGCAGAGAAGCAAACCCCAAGAATTTCTACCGCTAGGATTGCGAGGAACCAACGCTTCTACTGATGCGCAGAATGCTGAGGGTTGCTCTCTCGATAAAAAGCAATAAAAAGCAATCATATCCGTGGTGTATGCAGAGGATGCTACGGAGCAAACTCACACCACCGTGGAACACCAAACTCGCATACGCGTGGTCCTAAACTGACTGACCGAATGTACACGCTTTGACCCGAGGTATTGAACTGGCGTCGATCGTTGCAAGCCTGCTGAAGTCGTAGGTCGTCCAGAGGCTCATGAACAAATCGTAAGAACCGTACGGTTTGTGTTTTGAGCAGTATTGTCTCCAAAGCGCCAAGCACGGTATCCTGCAGAACGGTTGATCGTTCCCCTTAAAACAATCAGGACCTGCATCTCCTGGACAGAAAGCAACGAGTACAGCCAAAGCCATGCGGTGAACCACTCGCCAGGCACAGATATCCTCGTAGCTGTAGAGCCCACCCTTGCATGAGAACAAATTCTAGACGTGTTTACGGGGCGTCAGTCTGCAAACGGGTGAGTTTTTGAAAATGAAAGCTCGAACTAACTCAAGAATTGCTTGGTGGCGGTCGTCGCTGTTGTTGGGGTTGGGGTTGTTGATGTTGTGCTCGTCTGTTGTCCAGAGCCTGCGTGGCAGATAAGGGCTCTACGTTTCCGTCCCATACTAATTCCAGTGTAGCTGAGTGTATTTGCTCGTCGCTGCCAGTTTACCAGAGTCCAACAGAGCAACCAACAAGTAGTGACTAACGTGGTGATATGTTGCTGCCTCTACGCAATTAGCTTACGTCTGCATAACGCCCAGGCAAACTTGTCGCTGCAAGGGTCTTCGGAAACGTGAAAGGCCTCGTATTCATTCTGTGGGGTCACATGACGAATGGAGTCAGCCATATACACTGCTGAGGTTTCCCCTAGCTCATCCATCCACGCATCACTCGACTTCGCCTCCTCTATAGTACATGGCAAAAGGCCAGTAGGGCAGTTACAAGAGCTCGTGCTACTATCCCAAAACGTTGTGCTTTCCAGTTCACATGGAGGGGCGGAACTCGCTATGGGACAAGAAACCGCAGAGGCAAGATAAGACGGGAACTGTTGGGAAGATCCCTCTATGGTATAGGCCCACACATTCTAGACCAAAGTTCAACTGCTAAATGGGAACATGAGGCAAAAAGAGTTGAGCAGCTGCGTGTCTGGGCAAAGAGATAGCGGCTCACATGGGATGCAGTCATAAAAAAGACCAAAACGATAGTCATGCGATGGAGGAGAGTCACACAGGCCATACAAGTCAGGTTTCGGCGGTAGGTCGTTGATTCCCAGTACGCAGTATACCCTGTCGTTCCGTTCCTTATCCTTCTGACAAGCAGCAGCTGCCTCTTTGGCCTGTGAGTACAACACGCAGTTCCCCTCTCCTCCCTGAAAGCCAGCAGGATGTCCAGATACGAAATCCACGACTTCAAGCTCTTTTTCATTGCAAAGGGCTTCTCCCCCAAAAGCGGCATTAGAACGCAGTTGCTCCAATGAGAGCTCCTGATAACCATCTGCGCAATACAAGCCCGTAGAGGACTATGGTCGTTAGCCGGCACCTCACAAAGGAACCCATGGGCATTGCCACGACTCAGCATGAACTATCATTGCAAGATGATGGAGGAAGAAACTGAGGGGTATAGATGGGCTGCAACAAGTGACGCCCTCTTCGCATTTACAGTATTGTTCTCTAGGGGCGAAGCTCGGTCGAACGCCTGTATGAAGAAAAAACACGTAAGCACACGGCCCAACGCGTGCACCCTCCTGGGAAGAAACAGCTCCGTGGAAAAGTGGAATCTGGGATGTGTCCTCATAATCTCGGAGTTTGCGGGAGTCAGGCTAATTAGGTGCAACGCGGAGGCCAGATCCCGCAAGAGCGCGAATTCACAGAAACAACCAGCGTGGATACTGACTGAAGGAGCATCCCGACTTCAGTTCTTCGGCAATAGATACGTGTACTTCGGGCTGAGCCTTGAGCTTTCTTCCATTCCAGAAATTGGAAAAGCACGAAAACGGGTCGTGGCACACAAGGAAGTAGGTGGCCGCCTTGCGCTTCCAGATCTCCTCGCACACGAAGCTGCACTGGCGATCTATGGTTGTGGATGAGCGAAGCCTGCATTGAGGTCCCCCATTAACGTGGTCTGTTGCAGAGCGAGCTAACGAACGGAGAACGACACACTCGACACGAATGCTCACAGTCGGGGAGAGCAACAAAAAAACAACAAATAGGGGGAGAGCACAGCTATAGTGATTTCGCGTGCACCATATGTGCCATTTAGTACATACATGGGAGTGGTATAAAACCGTAGATACTCCAATCCATGCGCCAAGTGTGCACTACACTTACCGTGGGCGGCGTCCAGAATTGCAGCACGCAAGTCAGCAGGTACTCCAAGAAGTAAATACGTAAGTCCTGACACGAGAAGAAGTATTCGTCCCATTTCCATCGTGGAGACGCCACATGATCGTCCTCGGATGGTGGGTCACCTCGTGTGGTTTTGCCAGGCCCAGAAACCCCCTTAGGGCTAGCGATTTCACCTCCTGGAGAGGAAAATAGAGAATCCTCCTGGCCTTCGCCTACTAAACTTACAGAAACATGCGTCGGGGTCTCTAAAGAGTCTGTTGGTACAGGAGAAGGCCAGTGCTATCGTCCCAACCTGCAGCAGAATTCAACTGCCACGGCCGCCGACTAGCGAGAGAGCAGCATAAGCGTCGTGACAAATGTTGCTTTTAAGAACTCGTCGTTTCAGTGAGATGGTTTTCTCTCCATAAATAACACTAGCTTCGTGGAAGTGCCTCCAAGGTGCATGTGATATTGCAGGGATTAAGTTCTAAAGCCACAAATGTGTGGTTCCATAACCCCCGTAGCACGCACCGGCAGTCTGGATAAACGACAAACGGCAGACGGTTAGGTTCTCCAATTCTGCCCTTACTGTCAAAATACATCCGAACTATGTCGACAAATACTATCGGAAGCTCTATTAGCCATCTAGGACAGCAACATCGTCAGGTTCATCGCACGACAAGGGCCTGTGTACCACATCATCGAGCTGATGTGGTACACAGGCCCTTGTCTGCGACACCGTACGCCCACAGATCAGGCTAAATGGACCTGAACTGTTGAACACTCATTCACTCATTCTTACCCTCAAAATAACCCCAATCAAGTTTGCAAAAGAAATACACAAACTCCAGTCAATGGAAATAAGGGAAAGGAGATCCCAAATAGGTCTGTCTCACCCTGACCCCTGAAGGTGGGCCAGTGCCTCACCTACTGTAGTGCAAAGGCACTACAATGTGTCTCATGTGTGACCTCTAGTGGCTTTAGGTAAGGAAAGCGAATAACTAGGATTAAGTATTTTAGGGGTTAGGGCATTATTAGTTACGAAAAGGAATTAATACTACTAAATATTCCAGGGATTGGGGTACCATTAGTTGGAGTCGTAGCTTAGTAAGGTCAGTGTGCCAGCCGTCCGCGCCAGCCGTGTAATGTTCTGCTTAGGCACTCCTATGGACCCTAGATATGACTACTAGAGATCTAATAAATAAGTAGGCACACCTTAGGACCGCTGCGCACTACACTGACCCACCCAGCCCCAAAACGTTCTTGTTGCTGAATTTCGTAGCCCAATGGACGAACTTCATGCATAAATGCTCTAAATTAACCCAAAAATTATATTATGGCATTCCCTCTTGTTGAATACACAACTAGGGATTCACAGCGTGAACCATTGGAACGCGTGTGTAGTAAGGGTATGTTGATTCCGGTATGGTCATGACCAGCCCTGTTGGACAGTAAGCTATAACGACTTGTAAGCGTTGGTCTTCTAGTTCTTCATTATTCAGAATTCTTCTCGTAAAGTTTTACCAGGTCCTGAGGGGTTTAGAGGGGAATGAACGCCACCATCTTACCCAGGAGCCGTACTGTAATAACCATGCATGAGCGCCACTGGACATCTCTGTACTGGGTTGTGTTTTCCCGCGCGGCAGTGAAAGTAGAACAGAGTTATGAGCATTTATGGGGATGGATCGTAGCTAATTAAACTGTGCCATAGAAACAACTGCTTCCTAGTTTAGGCATCGTTTCAACCTGGAACCCATCGTCCTAGCAACGTCTATTTGTCATAAGGGTTTCTCTCGGCATCCTGTCTTATTATTTTCACACTTGCAGTGCCACTATTAGAATAGGTGTTGATGATAGCATTGTCCTTAAGCTTTGCAGTTGTCCTCGTCAACAGCAACGCTCCCGTAGGTGCGTAGTGGACGCATATTCGCCAAATGTATTCCCACACTTTCAAATCACATTGTTGTATTTAACAAAGGCAAGTGTTTATTTATGTATTCGTTGGGAGTCCCAAAGTACTTTTGCAGATGACTGCCTAGGCGAATTGGAACAGCACCTCTTCTAGCCCGAAGTTGTTCTTTTGTAGTCAGAGGTGACACAAACGCACACTGCATCATGATGTTTTGTTAAGAAGAGTTCGAAGTGGGTGGATAGGCAAGCAAAACTAAAGGCAGTTATTGATACCAAATTGCCACGGAATGCGGTGAAGATCCTTGCCACTACAGTCTCAGTCACCACTCTCCACCTTGAAAGCTGTCAAACTGAAGCCGTAGTGTAAGGAACGGGTCTTCGTCTTGTATTTATGTTACTGTGTGTATTTCCAATTTTTTAACGTTATTGTGTGTGAGTCCACTGCCTTCTAACCGTTGCGCCATATTTGGCCGTTGGTAAGCAAGTTCACCTGCACTCTATCCGCACCAGCGCCGTGGGGTTGCAAGTGGAAATGTGTCAGTCACGAGGAGTCGCCGGCATCCTGCCGACGCATCCCGCTTTCAGGCTTAGTGAGACTATACCTATTTTTGGAAGTGCTCAGCAAAGGAACCCTGTTGATGCATTCCTGATTCATAGATTCGTCGAAGCATCCTCCATACATTGTTTCACTTCAAAGTAAGTAAAAAGATGGATACCTGAACCTTCGTTCCAGGCATTTGAGCAGGAACTGAGAGCACCTCCATGTCAGGAAGGGCAGCACGTCTAGCGCAGGATGGGCGTTCCACGTGCACGCTCCTTCACCCCGCGGCGAGACCACAAAGAACCTCGGGAGCAAGAAGCCAGCCGACAGCCAACTGTTCCGCCAAGACGGCCAGCACACTATGCCAGATTTGGTATGTAGCTTAGTCCTCCTTGGCAGCACCACACACGGCATGCTATACCGTGAGGGCTCTGTATTAATAGAACTGACTTTCCCATGTAGTGGACTAATATGGTGGCTACTCCTTGACCATGTTCACCAGCTCGACGTATCGGCCTCGCAGACCTAGTACCTTCTGCACGTCAACGCTATGCTGGATGAACCAAAGCACGAATGCAATGCCAACAATTGTCCCACCAAACAGCATAATTAGCATCGTAATTAGCATATGGCGGCGTTCCGTTTCAATGTCTTCTGCCACTGAACAAGGAGCACGTATGCACACAGCCGCATTTACCCTTCACAAGCAAGGCCCCAAACAAGCATGTGGATGGTTGCACTTCAGTATGAAACTATTCTCTCCAAGGCGCAGCTTTCATCAGCAACGTACCCACGCAAAATACAGAGGAAAACTGATCTGTCGAACACTGGTCCTCCGCAGTGAGATCGTTAAAGTCCACGACGCTCTCCTTAAATGTACGCGTCTCGCAGTCGAAGAGCCCGAAGTCGATCAACGGAATTACAGCTGAATCAGAATAAATATGGGTTACATATAACTTCTTCGACACTCCTGCAGTACCTAGAAAGTGCCAAACCTGTCCCTCGTTGCACATTAGCTAGCTAGGGACTCCACGAGTCACTCAAATCCGGTTTGGAACGCGTACCGACGCTGTCTTCCTGGCACAGAGCCATCATATTCTGGTTCCATAACGAGCGTGATGCTTCTGCCTCCGCAAGTGTGCAAGGTCTGGTATATGAAGGGCATCTGCAGGTCTTATACTGCAAACAAAGTCGGCAACGAGGAAAATCTGTAGAGTTCATAATAAGGGCTAACGCTGCTTGGTAGTGCTACCTGCAGGAAATAGTGCACATCTCTACTGCATATGCTTGCTTGGAAAGTGCCGGGAATTTGGTGCTCTAGAGCCAGGAGCAAAATTCTCACAGTTGGATCGAAGCGTGTTGTCAAAGAAACGCCAGCCATATTGTAGATTCCGCAAGCGATGTCGGTGTTCACATGCGTGGTTGTTTGTGTGGTGGTGGTGGTGTCGGCACTCTCGGGACTCCACGTAGCGTGTGACGGCTCCGGTTTGGGTGTTATTAACAGACTGTGTGCTGCATCATCTGGGAGACAGTTAGACGCATTGAAGCAATATGCTGTAACATGATAGACGAAGGTGTGTACAACGAATATGTTGCTGCAAGGACAGCACGGGACACCGTCGAGACACATGCATTGGCACTACATTCAGCCTATATAATACTAACAGATGCGATCGCCACACAATTGTGCAATGAATCGCAAAAGCATACCGCAGAAATCTTGGAAACTGCAGGGCTCTGTCTGCACAGTCCCTGCATCTACGCTGTTGTCTCCACCTGGCGGACAGCAACACACAACATGCACCTTCCCTTGTCCGCGCCATCATTTATACTGAATCCATTACGGGCACTGATAGGCCACCTGTTTCCGTGTTTAGAGTCGTACTTGTTGTGCCCCCGAGCCTGCATGGCTCCCCTCCAGTTGTGCTGGGATCCAAAATCTGTCTTGTACGTATTCTGACGCTTGCCTCCACTCCTCCCACCCCACTGCGGCAGCTGGCGCTGCAGGCTGACCACTCTCCCCACTCCGAGTATGCGCAATCCTTCGGCACTAGCTTGCAGAAAACGATTCCTCTTCCAGCGAAGACTGTGCCCTTGGTTGCGCACTCTGCATTGAATCCCGTGACCTCACGTTTTGTAGCAATGCATGACAAGTAGTCAACCGTACTGTCGGCGCAGGCTTCCTTAACCTTGACGCACTTTTCCTTGCACTCGTCAGCGCTTACACTGTCCGTTCTGGGCACTAGTTTTGTGCAGTCGAGGGTGATATCGTCTGCAGGAACAAGCAATCAGGCAGGGCACATCCGTTTTTAGTTAAGCAGGAGAGGCTGCATGCATGCTCCAGCAACAAGCACGGAATCAGCTGCTTTCAGAGCTGGAGAAGAATAAGAGGGTGAACATACACGGTGTGCTTGCAGATAGCTCATGTTGAGCCTCCAGTCCATTTGCGCAGTACTCATTCATCTCGTCAGCGCTTTTGAAAATGGAATATGTGGCAGCATATTCTTGCTGCTTAAGGTTCTTGCTATCGCTGAGGGGGCAGAATATCTTGGCGGAGTCTGCTGCAGCGAAGAACAGCTTCGAATCAGCTGTCCCAGGAGTTCCTTCGTCAAACGTTGCTCCATCGGCGTCTTGGCGAGGACAAGACGATGTCATGGCAAAAGTAGTCTGACGCGACTCAAATACCTCTGTCGCAGTGCATGGGATGGAATCTGGGGTGAGGCACAAGCACTGCATGGAAGGACTTTTAGGATCGAGAAACCGAAACTCTGAAGACTCATCGTCGTTCATCCGAGAAAAACTTGGGAAGCACGTTGGTGTCGTTGTTTCTGGAAAAACAAATAAAACAGAAGACACAATATGCTGAGTCAGCGGCAGTAGTGAAATAAACAACAAGCATTCCACAGCACCCCCAGCAGCTCCGTCAACTGACGCCCTTCGTCCATACCTTTGACAAGTTTTTGGGTATATATGCACTTGCCACCAACTGGCTGATTTTCAGTAACGTATTCAGCAAAACACTGAAGAGGCGTTTTTCCTTCGAGCTTTGATTCTTTTAAGCATGAATCAATAATCCTCTTGCATTGCTCTTTGCAAAATTCCCTATCTTCTTCTATATCATGTACAGGTAAGATGTCGTCGCAACCTGCTCCACCCAACATCGATACAGTTTCAATTGCAAGGAGCCACTGTCCTCGCCGTCAAGCAATTTCTAGCACACAGTGCTGGGGCTGGTCCTCTTACGAATCAGCTTACTTGGTTCTCGGTCATTTCTGCAAGGTCCAAGAGCGTCTGGGCATTCTTCACTTTGCGTGCCTGTGCACCATCGTATTTAACATGGAGAAATTACCTCATGGAATGGCCCAATCCTACCAAAACTGGGTAGCGTAGGATATTTAGTTATGGTCTCCATAAGGGTCAAGTTCAGGACGTACTATGGTACAGGGGCACATCTTCTACGGTAGAGTCCTGCTTGATGCTTAGTTTGTATCGTCTGGCCTTTTGACCATTTAGAAGGCACCTGAACCACACGCTCACAAATCAACTAGGATAGGGCTCCAATGCTAGGGAAAACGCGAAATGAGATTTTAGACTAGCACGTGGGTGCAGAATCTTGCATCTCTAGGTGCAACGCTGCTTACGGTGCGTCACAAGATGACCATTCTGACCACTTTTCACTGTCAGCTACAGCATCGATGTCGCTGCTTATCTGTAACGCGCTTGCGGGTATTGATGTTTTGGCGTTATTGTCTCCTTCCCCTGCAGCCAATGCACGTAGTCCCCATGATTTGCACTCATGCTTTCCCCCTACGGCTAAAGGTAAAACCCATGCACTGGTTTTTTCACCTTCCATTTCACTGTGCTGTAAGTGGGGTACACAGTGGAACTAATCGGTTCCATATCGTCCCTGTTTACTAATTACTAAATGAAATTGTTGCAGCTGCGCATAAACCTGGGCTTCCGCCCACGATAGCAATTTACCAGTGCACCGCGAATCATCATATTCCCTCAAGTTGAGCTCGGAGCATGCCCCTCCTGCTTCTGCAAATACTAGCTTTTCCCTGTATGAAGTTGTAACTGGTGAGAAGCCGAAATCGAGAAGCTTTTCAGAGCAGCTAGACCACTCAGTCCAGTCGGAGTGGCGACACAATGAACTGCACGGTATAGGCTTGTCAAACACGCAGGGGACTGTCTCTTCTAGTACACACGGGGCTCCATTGCCCCTGGAAGGCAAAAGCTGAGGCCTACGACGCCTCCGCACTGGAGTTGGTCCCTGAAGACTAGCAGGCAAAAACGCAACCTTGAGCTGAACAGCGATGTGCCAATGCCTTCTACTTTTCTGGATGGTGCCTTCGGGTTCCGCTGCAAGCATTCTATCCGCTTCTCAATTATGGCAGGTTATACATACAATTCAAATGGTGAAGGGCTCACTCAGACGGTGTGCAAGTTGCGGAGCAATCTGACCATTCAGACCAGTCTCCCGGCAAACAGTCTGCATTTTCAGGCCAGTCCCAAGTCGGTGCAGTAGTGCTCGTAGTCGTCGTTAGTGAAGCGGCTGCGCACACTCCCCGTGACACTCCTAGTGTTATACTGGTCTACACCTACCCAGAAGCAGAGCTTCAGGCATGACATTATCTGACAGCGTGTATAAACCCCCCGCTTACATGGGCAAAACACCAAGGGAGTGTCCACTACGCATTGGTTGTAACCACTCGTGTTGATCCGCCCGTTGAGGAAGACGTCGTCGAGGGAATACAGTGGCAGTTCTCTTTGCTGCCACCGAATACTCGAAGATGCAGTGCACAAATCGCTAGCCACTTGCATAAATCCCCGAGCAACGGGTTGTACGGCATCCCACGTCCGGCATAGCATACCTGCAACAGCCAAAGCGCTCAACAAGCTGCACATTTATTACTTAGCCGGGAAGGTCCTATGGTGGTTTTTTTCAGCAAATAAAGACTTTGCGCATCGTCAAAATAGTCAGTGGACAATCTTCCTCAAATCGCATGCAGACTACTTAGGGATATGATGATACGCTTGTGAAGCAACAGCTGACCCCATGGGGAAATATCTTGAATCCAGTGGGCCCGATCTTGTTCAACTTGATGTTGCGTACACGGGCTGAATCCCTGGGGGCATGAACAGCTCATGGCCTCAACGTCCCATCCTATATCTAGGTATGAGGACATGTCGACTATTCTGCAGTGGACGCTGGCTGCGCAGACGCAACAGAGGGAAGAAACCTTCTACATTTACGTTACCAGTGGCAATCATGTCTCCAAACTTAAGCAGGAAAAATCCGAGACAATGTGCAAGCAACATATTGATGTAAAGCCCTACCGCCAATTGGAGGGGGAGTCGTGGTTGTCGTCGTCTGTGCCGTATCAACCGCTGCGATGCAATCAGCCAAACTTTCCCCGCGAAATGTGGCATGCAGTGGAATCTCTTTGCCAGTGTTATATTGCACATACATAACACTTAAATCTCCTTAACGTATGCCTCCCGTGCCCCACAAATGAGGCAGAGTGTTTTCGTGAGAGCCCATATGAGCGTAACTTACAGGGTTCGACATAACACTTCGCTTTCAGTTCTTCGGAGGCGCTGGCTACGAAGCAATCCCACGTCAGTGGCGGTGTGCATTTGTCAGATAATGCGGTGCATTCTGCAACACAGTCTGCATCAGTAGCCGACCCCTGCACACCACATCAAGAGCGAAAAAAAGCCGGAGTGTTTCCTCCTTTGTTGGGAAACTGCAACGTTGTGGAGCGGCAGATCAAGTCCCTAGAGGTCTGGAGAGCTCTAACTTGTCGCTCATCCAACCATTTCACCATCCTACATCAACCCAAATATGCCAGCTTTCCTCTGTGCCACTGTTTCCAGCATGAGCGTACAACTTTAGACTTGGCTCCGGCGCAGTTGGGTATGAAATCTGAGCACATCCCGCAAAGGTCAACATACCCGTCAAACAGCTCAGTACAGGTTCGTTTCTGGCATTGGTGAGGCCCAGTAACAGGTCTAGTCAAAACGATTACGGAAAATGTACTATACGGTGCTTTGCAGGAGGACTAAGCCCAGTTACCTGGAATGGTCGGTTCATTGCCTCTCGAAGATGCTGAATCCGAACAGGTGCGGCACACATCGCAAGCCATCGAATGAATCTCAGTGATCTGCTGATAGCTGAGACATACACTTCCTTTAAAGCCTAAAACTAATGTCCGGTATGTCTGTTTCTCACGGTCTTTGACGTGGAGAACCATGAGCAAAGTTGTTCCGAAAAAAACGGAGACTTCTTCAAAAACGAAGTCCCTGCAGGAATCTCGAGAAATCACGTAAAGACGGGGATTCCATATGGCCTTCGCCGATGTGGACTGAATTGGGCGTTGTACAAGCAAAGTTGTTTTATCGCCATCCTTCACCACAACGGAGCCAAAGATCAACGGGGGTCGACTGCCGAAGTGATCCTCCGAGTAATGTACAGTGTTATACCACCCGCCTTTTATTTTCGCTAGTTTTGTCTGGGGAGAAGATGCAAGACAAATCACACAATCACACACGAACTATACGCTCAATATTGTTGGGGTGCATATTACTCGACAAGCTGCCCGGCATGGGGTTTTGACATTTCTCTTGGGGCACGAATAGCGTGAATGTTCTGTGAGTACTGCGGAATAGTGGGCAGTGCTAGACAGCACACCGTCAGTGCCTAGTCCCTACCTCCAATGTTATGTTGTTCGTTTTGCAGCCAAGAGGACATTGAGAATCCGAGAAGGAGTCCATATAGAGATAACCGACTTTGTACTTCACTGGATTTACCAGTGCAGTTGTATTTTCGACAATGATGGTGGTTGACGAGGCGGCGACCTTTATGGTCCTAATGTAAGGGATGTCCGTCATTGGGAGGTTCACTGGTATATCTTGGATTTGTGTCAATACAACTGGCTGTTCCATTTTCACAAGCAAAGAGTAATGCAAAATATCAGCACGACTGTTGTGGAGCACACTGCCTACGAGTAGTGGTCTCATCGGTACAGCTCAGATATTGGTGCTTTCTCCGTAGTGACAAGACCCACAGCGCCCTACTTACCGAAGAACTATGCAACTTAAATCCAGGAAGTACATCTATACTTTCCCCAACAGTGGCTTCAACCGTAGCAACGCGAATCGATATGCTCGAACCTGGGATGGAGAAGCTGTCCTCGGAAATGGCTATCCAACTCACTTGAGCGTAAGCTGGAGCATAACCTGCATGTTTCCAGAGTACCAAAGCCACAACGGATGCTCTGTTTTACGAGAGCGCTATATCTTTTCGTAGTTAATTGGCGCACGTGGATGTGGTCCTGCTGCTGCTGCGCTCACCTATTCTGCAATGATCCAGTGCTAAGCGGATGTGGAACCCAGTTTCCGAAACTCCTGTTACTTGTACCTGAGCAAATGTACCAAGTGGGTTCAGAATACCTGCAAAAAGACGAAACAAACACACATGCGTTCCACCGCCACCTGAACATTTGGTCATGAATGCTCATTTCCACTGCATTAAAGAAAATCCGGGGAAGCTGAGGATGCAACTCTTCAATATAAGACATGTGAAGACTATATACCGGTAAAAACTACTGGATTTGGGGAAACAGCAGTTTCAAATTTCACTAGCTTCCACTCGGTGGTTATCACCACGGTACCGGCCACCATATTTGAGTCTGCAAAAATGCCAGTGACACAAACGGCAAAAGTACATTTGCGGCAGCAGCCCTGGGGAGGCCCATAGAGGTGGAATGTGGCTGATTCAATCCTTCTACTCTTCTTATCAAGGTGTTTTCCCACGACAGATGCAGAATGGAAGAGGGAGCTACAACGATGCCCACCCCGTTGTTCTTTGTCTTCTAGTTCTGCAGGGAAGCACCACAGACACAAAATGCACAAGCCATGCTAGACGATACATATGCCCGGCCGGAGCTCTTCAAGCAAGAAAAGAAGCAGGTACTGTATGCGGTACATCATGCCCTTACCTAATGGAACAGTGCACTGCTGCAGGATAGGATGGGTCTTCTGCACCTCATAAAAACATGGTGAAGAGTTCGAAGGCTGAGTCTCCTTGCAATTGCTGTGGGCGTCGTGACACCAGTGTGCACACTGGTAGTCGGATACATCTTGCTTGTTGAGAGACACAGCTTCATCACAGTTCGGTTGCAGGCCTGCGACAATATGAACCATGCATAATATCAATGTTGAGTTGAATTTGGCAAGAGGAACAAATTGAGACAAACGTGCTCGTGTTGCTGCTGAAGAATTTCCACAGCTCAATAAGGTTCAGCGACCACTCCGCTAAGGGTCGTGCGGTTGACGTTTACCTGTTTGAACCGAGGAAGTCACCGCAGCGTCAACTGCAGGGAAGCACAAAAGGTACATACTCATCGTTTCGAATAAATGGTTGTGATGAAGGCGGAGGAAATAACATCGGGCTCTGTGAGAATACAAGTTAGAATAAGACAGGCTGAGCTTCCAGGCAACTGTACTCACCTCGGCAAAAAATGCCCTTGTACTCTGACTCATTTGTGCATGCTGATTCACTTGCAACCCCAAAATCTGTATAAATAGACCCAGAGTCCTCCATAACTCTCATGTTTCGCAGCAGTATGACACCGCTATCACCTTTATAGTGGTCCTTGAAGTAGCCCACCCAGTCGTGAGCCAGCATTTTAACCTCGGCCTCAGTGCATGGCTCCATTGTAGGGTCATCAGCGCATCCACAAGTTCTAAATTTGGAGTTATATTCACTTGAGACCGCCCGTATGCCACAGGTTTTGCGCAAGCTGTTCGGAACGTAACAGTCCGTTAGGTTTTCGTTGACGCATGCCCACGGATTCGCAGCCGACGAACACTTATTCTGTCAACAGATCACCCACATGCTGCTGGAAAATGCCGAATTTGGGACTCCCAGAAAGACTGCTTCATGCTTCATTGTGAGGGTTCCAATATAATCGTCGTAGCCCTTTGTGGCCACCAACCCTACCTACCTACCTGCCATATTTCAGCTACCTCTGCACTACAGATAAACACGTCGAAGTCATACCTTGAGTACGTGTGAGCATGTTTCCCTGCAGAGCTCGTCGTGAGAAAAACGTTTACCAGATTTTGTGGAAAACGCTTCTTCACAGAAGGGTTCTGCACGCTCACGAAGGCAGTCCCCAAAGGCAAGAATAAATGTTTCGGAGCCGCATTAATCGACGCGTATAAAACTTCCTGCAGCTACCTCCTTTAGGACCTAGATTCATCTAGAAACGTTCTAGAAACAAGAATGCCAGAGAGCTCCATGGGACGCTCTGCCGCTCCCGGCCTACCTATTGCTGAAAGGCAAGACCGCAGGGTTCCGCTGTTGCTCTATAAAGACTCACTTGGGTTCATCATGCCTTCGTTCGGGTCCCCCTCTACAGGATCTGTGCAAGGAACACAAGGAATGAATCATTTCTGACATATCAGTCAGGAGGGACCTGCCAGACTTGTGCACTGGGGGATCCACCCAGCCACATTGGAAGTGCAGTACAACCCAAATTCCTACGTGGTGAGCATGCCATAGTGCCGGCAACAGCGGCCAGCTTCAATTTAAATTTAGCCCTACGCTTGCACAGTATTTGGACGAAATCGCTCATACAGTCATGCTCCGAGGAGGGGGCCCAAATTGAAAATGTCAACTGGCCATCTTCGTCGACAGATACACCACGAGCGCCGCTCAGAACGAAACTTTGGGGCGGTGTAATAGACGCTTGCCAGGATGGTAGCGCCTGCAAAAATCACGGCAACCAACCTGAATCAGCGTATTGACAAAACGTTTCGTAGTTAAAACATGAGCCGACCATTCAGCAAACACCTTACAATAATCTCCTCTTGTGTGGCTGGTGTAGAGCCTTCAGTGCAGGCGCAAGATGGCATGCTCCCCAGGTAAATCATGCTTCCCGACAGCGAATGGGCAGAAATGCCATACCCGCTTAATGATTCTGCCTCTGCAAGCTCACACAGCAAGCACGTCAGTGGTGCCCACATGCTTGCTAACCTGCAGAGCCCGCGACGTATCTAAGTTGGCCAATTCGACTTATCTCCAAGCAAGACGACGTGTCACAGGGAGACAACGTATTACTTGTGGGCATGCAAGCGCTCCAAGAAGCCCAACTCACTCAGCTTGCAGCTGTAAAATACAACAAGACTGAATGTATCGCAGGATGGGCACAACTCCAATGCAGAGGGAAACTGGCTCCTGGACACTGTGCACTGGGCCAAGCTGGGAGAAGCACATTCTTGTTGTACAGCGCTTGTAGCATCATGCACTTGGCAGGCAGGCCTTACTTCCCCGTCGACAATTTTCTGAAAAGGAGCATTGCAGACAATAGTATGTTACGCAGGCTTCCTATCGACGATCACTGTGCTTTGTTGGAAATACCCGGTTTTCTCTAAGAGCCTGAGTCCATGCCTCGCTAACCACGAACACAAGAGCCCCAAAATGTCGCTAGTTGACTAACACTTGGGTGCAAAAGATTTCCTTTGGGACAGAAAACTAAAAGAGGCCCATGTGTCACACAGAAACCTTCTCTGATTCTGCTATTTTGCGACAACTCCCGAAAGCAGACGGCACGGTGTCCCTAAGGTGTTCGCTAAAGTTTCCAACAGCCAACGGAAGGTGCCATACCGATTTGCAGCCAAAGAAGGAACCAATAATATCCGCGATGTGTGAATCAGGGCATAAATTTTGCACGTTAAAAGCTTCCTCCTCGAGATCGAAAACTGCCCGACGGTCTTGAAGCAGATGCGCAAGCAACGCTAAATCTGTCATTGTCAGGGGTGTAGGGGGGTTGCCGCTCAGTATGCATTTACCAAACTGCCGCGCCTGCGCTCTTGTTGGCAGTTCGCTAGCCCCCTCAAACCACAGTGCCAGGGATAGTCCACTAGTTGCGGTTTCTTACCATACTGTGGAATCGGAGAGAAGTATGGACGCATTTCTGAGTACACGACAATGCAATACGCTGGCTAGATATTACACATAGGTGTGTTGCTTACCATGAAGGGATGTGTCCCTGTGTCTGGAATACTGTCCCGTACCGTATGTGCAGTTGTTGGCGAGAGCACTGAGCGACGAAGTAAGTGCCCACGGGTTATCAGCATGCCACTGTTTCACCAATGCCTCAAATGTCTCGTATGGCGACAGTTCTGCCATAGCTTGATCCTTAAAAATGTCCCATAAGTCGAGGCACAGATTTCTGCAGACGGCTTCTTCCAAAGTATCCACCGTTTGATCAGATAGATCAGTGCATTGCGGGCCACCATCACTGACGCTTGTTGTCTCCTCTGCAGACAAACGGAGATCTTTTGTTGAGGAAGCTCACGCCAACGGGCACCGGCATGGAGAGAGCACCCTGATTAAGGGTTGCATGCACGCAAAGAGCACCTTCTAGTCAAGCGATGGCTGGCAAATTGAATATCCCAGTCCCGTCGTTAAAGTTCTACAAAGTAGAGCTTTTTGCTGCTTGAAAGACTGGCTTGTGTTGGTAGCAACTCATATAACTTGCCTTCACACAGAATGTACACGTCATCTGAAAGACAATTGAGGGCGGCATCATCAAGCACTGAGAACCGTTTATCGGTGGTCTTGTACCTGCTCCCAAATCATCTCATAAACGAAACAAGTTGAACAATAACTGGATTGAGAGTGGTAGGTCAGGCAGGTGACTTTATTGCTTTCACAAACTTGAAGTTTTTCTTCAAATTGAGCAGGACCGTCACAGAAATAAGACACACAAAACGCCTCTGGCAGAAGGATTGTCTGTACTCACGCAACTCCCTCAGAAACTACAATTGTTAGGCCTTCAGGCAATGCGGTCCGCCAGCCTATGTCGTTGAAAGCTTGCTGAAAGCCACAGCTTGCTCTGCCACTAGGGCAGTTGCATGTACCTGCGCAGGAGACCGAACTGGTGCAGCAACGGAGAGGAATTAACATAACAGCAACTTGCCCTATTATGTCCATGCGCAGGCTAGCCAAATCCTGCACATTCATATATCTGCAGCATAATCTGTCGGGTCTTCTGTGCAAAAAAAATTTTGATTTGCGATCAGCAGGGACAGATAATAGACAGCTATTCAATTTGGCGCAGAGCAAAGTCACCTGCATGATTGTAAGCACTTTGTGAAGCCCGTGCAGCGAGGCAAGATGACTCAGGCTTCACAAATCCTGAGTCTCGGACCACACACACACACACACACACACACACACACACACACACACACACACACACACACACACACATCCACACATGTCTACTTGGCAATGCATCTAGAAAACCAGCATACTTTATGTGCACAACAGCAAAGATGAAACTCACCTGGATCACAATTAAAACGCAGCAGCATGGAGGGGTTGAGAGCTGCCCCACATAGGGATGAAAATGCAGCATCAGCGAATGCTTCTGGTGTTACTTCGCAAGCCGCCGAATTCGAAGACACTTGCTTTTGGCAAAATTTGTTGATTATTTCCGTGATGTCTTTAATACCGCATGCTGGCGTTTTAGGTGACGTCCCGATCAAGACATATTCATCACTGAAGAGGACTTGGACGAGCTGGATAGCGCCTTTCCCGCATGCCTCCTCCGTACTCCACGGGGTGCCACCAGTTGTGTCACTCCATGTAACGAGTTTCTCAACGGCTGTGAACATTCGAAGCAACATGTTCGACATTAAGAAATGGCAATGCACGAGGTGGCCTCCCTTTCAGTTTCACCGCAATCATACAGCGTTAGCAGCTAGCCTATATGTACTCACCGTATTGTTCGGCTGGCGAAGAAGCAGGCCTTGCATCTGAAAAGGATAGTGGCAACAGCATGTGCACTCGCGCAGACTACCTTAGCGTTCAAACGATGGAGTTCCCGTTCGTGTTCCACTCTGGCATTTATGTGACAGCTCAGGATATGTCGCCACAGCTTTTACAAGCACTACAGGAATTACCAAAGGAACAACTTGTTGATAACTCTTGAGCCAAAATATCATCGAATAAGTTTCCCCACGCTTCCTGTATCGCGGACGTTGTCGAAAAATCACTGGTGAAGCATTCCATGGGATTTGGACACATTAGGTATTTTTCTTCGTTCTGGGACCACATATTCGTGCACGTGAGTTCGCATATCGGCAGTAGGCTTGGCGAAGTAGACTGTGCTTTCCAGCAGTTTGGGCCCATGTTTTCGCTTTCATTCGCTTTACTCGCTGCAAAGTCACCTCAATCACATGTTTCATTTCACCAGTAACCTCAACACATGCATGTGCATGCATGCACGGTTTATATATTGAACATTATATTTATCCTAAATCTCTGCACCGAGCTTTCCAATGTATTCGTGTTCTCTAGTACAATTACAATGATTATTTCACCACCGACTTGGTGGGGACAATATCTGGGGAAGAAACTTGGCTGACCATATGAAATGAGCAAGCAAGAAGAAGGAGCGGTGTGCACTGGTATTCCCGACCGACAATCGCTTAGAACTCGAGGAGTGAAAGTCGTTTTTGAGCTGGATTCAACAGCGTAGTTGTATGAGACGTTTTTCATGAGTGGTTGGATAAAAGCTAGGACGGGTGAACCGAGTGAGTGCGAAATTGCATCCCCAGATATTAACGAAAACGACGATTTAATCTGAGGCCAAGGAACACAAATCACACAAGGTGATATAACGGTTAGGCGGTCCTGCATTGCTCCCATGATTCAATGGAGACTTCCCCTAGATAAAACTGCATCGACTGTGTGTAAGGACCGTACTTCCATGTCCATTGCTCCAACATTGGTAAGCAGCAAGTCACCAAGAGCCATGACTGCCACGGTGACGGTCGGAGAGTAAGTGGAGATTGACCCGGATAGCGTAATGAAATACTTGTTTCCGAAGGACGCGAGAGAGGCCTTGGCGGAAACGTAAGGCGTCAAATTAAACTCAGATGCTTGTTCTTCAACTGCTGCCATGTTCTGTATTTGTGCGAGGACAACATAATTGAGCTACAAACAGAAACAAAAACAACAGAGGATAAAGGACGTCTTGGAGGCTGAATGATTGTAAACCCGTACGAGATGACTATGGGTTCCATGCATACGAGAGTTGTAAACTGGTTTACACATGAGCTGCCACGATTGTCAACTCAGTTGCTAGTTAGCTTATTCGATGGGGCAGTAACTCCATACGCTTTGACGTTCCCAGTCGTCGGCGAAAAAGGAGAATGTATGGTATTGGATAGTAGGACTGGCCGCCAGCGTTTTCAGGCTAGCATAATCCGCAAAGTAGTCCTTTCCAGCAGTCTTGTACCATGCGATGTAGGGCACACCAATCTGACTCCTAGAGAGGTCCGCAGTTACGCATGACGGCACCATCACGCGAGCAGTGAATCCATTCACGTCCACCTCTCCCACCTGATGAGTAAAGCAGCAACTGCATGGGCCACTGCATAAAAAAAAAAGAAAAACTTAGAAGCAATGAGCTCTCCAAAGTTCAATTAAGCGCGAGGCCTCACCTGTGGCACTATCCAGTAGTCTCCAACGTAATCTGGTGAGCCCAAGAAGACAAGGGGATCTGTCAATGAATTTGGAAAGTCTACCCTCACCCAGGCACCATCGCCTTTAAGGTAAAACTTCCCCTTCAAGAAATCTGTGCAGATGTACAGCAGTTCTGGAGAGGCTACGATATCTGTTGGGCGCTGCTACCGCAGCCGCTGACACATCAGAAACAAGCACTGTTATTTGAGAGAGGAGAGGGGCTTCAGTGTTTATTGGGTTGACATAACACTGGGGAAAACACTGAGGTAATAAAACTGGCATGGACTGTTTACTCGTTACCATGCTAAACCGCAGGGTGTACCTGGTGTCGAGTCGGCTTGGCAGTAAATAACCAGTGTAAGTGCTGCTATAATGAAGCGATGCAGCATCTTCACTGGAAAGTGCTTCGACCGAGTCATCTTCCGCTTCAAAAGATCGAGATGTAGGGGGAGGCAGTGTACATTGGTTTTCAGCAAAGCGCCAACGGAGAACAAGGCACCTGATCCTGTAGAACTAAAATAGATGAGAGAGCACTTGCGTGCTTAGCCGAGCCAGAATTGCCCACCAGGATTTTGATCCATGGGCATTAGACAATGTAATTGAAATAGGAAGAGGAGACGGCTTGAGTTGTCTACAGTTGATGCGCTCGTGCTTGAGTCGGATCCATCCCACTGGGGGGAACTTCTTCACTTTTCGTTTGGCGGGCAGTCTGCAGAACAGTGGTGCCTGCGCCAAAGGCTAGGTGCCTCGCAAGCACCAGTGAGAGACCATTGAGCCCCCTGCCAGTCAGCACACACCGCGCATACGGAAATGGCTTAGCCCGACATAATGAGACCAAGCCATTAAATTCACATTAACGGTTACTTGGCCTACGCCAAAGTGTATGACTAAATATGGCGGGCATGAGGCAAGCTGTGTTGGCAGCAATGAGCCTCTCCATGCATTCAACTCACGTTTCATTGGGCGTCCAGAGCAATGAAGGAATCAAATTCAACTGTACAGATGCATCATTTGCATAAGTATAGCTCCTGAAACAGCTACCAAGGAATGTGCAATGCAGGCTTCAGTCATGTGTGCAGGAGGTGCTCGGGGCCGACGGAGTCTCTAGTTGACGTGCCGTAACCGTCCCTCACGGAGGCTCCACGGTGGAATCATTAAATACATTTATGCTATATAATTGACAAAGGCAAATCTTTCTTTACAAAGAAATTCAACTAAGCTAGACTCCACCATTAAAATCAGCTTTGCTCCTCCATGGCCTAGACACCAGAGTTTGCCGTTTCCACCGCGGCGTCGTTCTCGGTTTCGCGGAACGGAATCTACAAGAAAGTGCAGCATCCAGTGAGCCCAAAATATAGTATATGAGCACATAATACAGTCGAATGCATGAGTGTACAGTTACAGTAACCTGGATGGTAGTGGACAATATTTCAGGACGGGCGAATGCAGAAGAAACAGTGGACTAAGACCTTAACTTAGCCTTCTCACACTTACTCTGTGTCTCTAATAACTCAAAAGCACTGATTCAGACCCAAAGTGCCTTTCTCGTGCTGAAGAATACCTCCATTCACGCTGGCTTGCGCCAACCTGCTGCCTGGTGGTCCTGGGTGCTGCGCACTTCTACCAGCTGGACACTGAGTTGTAGCATGTAGCGTGCTTACCCATGTTGGAGGTCTGAAGTGCATAACTAGTGCCTACGGACCCTTCATGATGTAAAACATGCAATGGACATGCGCCTGCAGTTGCTAGCGTTTCTGAGTGAGCGCGTATGGTGGTGGGGAGAGAAGCTTTAGGCATTCATTCTTCTCCGTTGTGGTCTAGCGTTTTAACGTGGATTCCTGTGCACGTAAATGCAGCAAAGAAGTATTGCAACTGATTAAAAACTTCCAGGAACTCCACCGGTAGGAAGCAGCACCTGGTATTCGGGCACAGTGCGTGTCAATGCATCGAGCCAAATGCATGGCATTCAGAGGCAAAATCCCTTCATGCATCTGGCTTTCGAAGTGATAAACAAGGCTGACAATTGCTGTCCACTGTGTATGTTGCTATGATGGCTGTATCTACGGGAACTTCCAATTCAGATTCAATTACTAGACACACCACTCCTTTACCCTGGTGTTAGTACACACGGGAGCTGCAAAGCTCTAATCTCCAATCGTAGCCTCTTTGAATTCTGAATATATTGTGCTGCTGCAGTTGACGCGGGTGCAATTGCTTGCAGCGGACACTTGTGCAAATGTGTTGGGGAATATCCCGCTCTTGTGCCAGTCGTCGACTAAACCACAGACGGTGCACGGAAGATATTGTAGGTCACCATGGGGCGCATCTGTGGACAAAATGCATTATATGCATTGTATGAGTTGGATAACTTCTTTTGTATTCTGCTCCCCATAGGCATTCCTAACGGGTAGCTGTTCGGCAATGGGAAGTCAACACTAGCTATTACAGGTGGATTCGTGATCAGAGTTCCATTACTACCTCATTAAAATGCTGCTTCTGTTGTTGAAAAATCACCCAGACCGGTATCTCCGAAGGTGCCTTCCGTATAGCATATTCCATGATCCCTAAGTTTCTGAAGTGCTCCGCCTAGAAAAACAAGGTCGACGTGCAGTTGTGGCCAACCAGTGGAGAGGGATTTCCGTCTAACGATGTACTTGTCCAAAGGTGTGCGCAAGCGTTTTCACCTTCGTTTGCAGCCAGCATTAGTGAACTGATGGTCACCGTTTAGTTGCATCAAAACTACTGAATTTGACCCCGCAACCTTCAGGTCCACGGAAAACTTCCCATCCCTCCAGCAAGCGCATATCTATGAGGGTGAAGGCATCCATGTAGAGAATGCGTGTGAGGAGTTCGGGGAACTGATGAACACAAATACGCCATTAACCATGGAGGCAGATTCGTAAATAAGGTCCGCGAAACGAAAAGTTGACGGCTTCGGAACTCCGCTTGGGTGCTTCGTTCGATCGAGTGAAAATGTGTTTCTTTCCTTCCAGCACCTATTTCGCTTTGCATGCGCTATCTGGGTGTTGTCTCTACCTCAGAGACCTGTCTGCTCCCTGTATCGTTGACGCATGTGTGTGCGTGTGTCTGGCATCTTAGCTACTGTGACAAATGGGCTCAGTGACGTCCGAAGACGCGGGCTCAGCATGGGATACGAAATACCCCAGGTTTAAATTCCCAGGTCAGCCCCCAAATGTATTACACAGCTCGCGCTCGGCTGCGCTTATATAGTCTCTCTGGCCAAGCCAAATGGTGTACCCAAGCTGTTAAGTATGGAAGCCCGGTTCTTAGTTCTTAAATAACCCTAACTGGGTTTACAAACAAATTCGAACACTTCAGGTGAAGATCGTATTCGGAAAGGAAAACCAAAACAGTTCCCTCCGGCCCTGACGCGTGAAGGTGGGTCAGTGCCTCAGCAGCCCCACGGCCGCGATGGACTGATGGAGCAGGTAGCCAGCTTTCCGTAGTGCGTGAATGCTCTAAATTATCACTAATAATATGTTACATCGTTTCCTTTCGTGAAATAGACCGCTAGAGGGTCCGCAGGGCGAACCATTGTAGTGCCTGTGCACTACACCAGCTCCCGTAGACCCTCGATTACCAAGATTGAAGGACCCGTAGTTTCTTTCAGCGAGATACTATATCGGGAAGCATGCCCGTTTGATTTAAAAAGCTAAATGTACAAGCTCCTGAACCTTTTGCCTTTTGGACAGAGTGAAGTTTGTCGGAGACGATGCTAGGCGGCGCAGGCTCAAGCCTCTTTGGGAACATGTCAGGCAGTACTGCCCAAACAACGAGTTCTCCTGCTACCTCCGGTACCCTCTTTGGATCCACTGGACAGGCTCCTGGTGCTTCTACGACTTCTAGCATATTCGGCAATGCCGCACCTGGGTCTCTATTTGGCGCTCCGACAGCTGCAGCAGCTGCTGGCCCAGCTACGGGCGGCACAGCTTCGGCGACAGCGCCAAAAGATGGTAGCTTATTTGGGTCGAGTTCATCAAGTTCAGCACCCTCATCAGGGGGTCTATTCAGCAGTGGTACAGGCATGCCTTCCACGTCATCGGGAGGTCTTCTCGGGAGTAATGCCACATCCGGCGTAGGATCAGGGGGCAGTGTAGCAAGTGGCGCCACGGGGTTCCTATTTGGTAACACTACCGCCCTCTCTGGAAACACACAGAATGCTCCACAAGGGAGCCTCTTCGGGGTAAGTGCAGGCGCAGCCTCCGGGCTGTCGAACGCCACAAAATCGGGGTTATTCGGCGGCGCTACTGCAAGCAACAAGCCAAACGAGCTAGGAAAGCCGGCGGGACTGTTTGGTGGACTCTCGACTACAGGAAGCACAGGGGAAGCTCCAAAAGGAGGCCTCTTTGGTAGTAGCAGCACCGCTGCAACCACGAGTGGCAAACCAGACTCATCATCAGGAGGACTGTTTGGCTCTTCTTCAGCGGCAGCACCTGAGACAAGTCAGCCTGCGGGAGGTTCCTCTGGCGGAAAGAGCTCGGCAGGTACGGCTTTGACTGGCACAGGAACACTTCCCGCTGGGCCCGTCGCCGGCAGTGGGACAGGTGATGCTTCGAAGGGAACTGGCCTTTTCGGGAGCTTAGGGGATGCAACAAAAACAGCCAGTGGTGGTAGTCTCTTTGCAAATGCCGCTTCTGCCGTCGCTGCCGTCGGGGTTGCTAGTGGAGGGAGTGATGGGAAGGGCAGCGGCTTGTTCGGAACCCCCTCTGGCGCCTCGGCAGCGCCCCAGCATTCACAGACAGGCGGACAGGCAAACACAGCAGGGAAACCCTCTCTTTTTGGCTTTGCTGCATCTGGAAGCAGCGGCAGTACTGGTGGCTTGTCTTCGGGGCCTGCAAAAGTTTCGTCAGAAGCAAATAGTGGGCAGAAAGGAAGCGAAGAGGCTCCTGCACCATCATCGTCGGCCACCGAGCAGAGTACAACCGGCACGACCGGTGGACAGAGCCTGAGTTTGACCGGGGCTAGCAGCAACTCTGCTGCCCCGAATGCTGCCCCAGCAGTCGGTTCCCTCTTCGGGGCTAAGTCAGGGAGCAGTGTTGAGTCGAACACATCACCGGCGACGGGACCACCCGTACGAAGCACACCCGTGGTGCCCCCAGAAGAAGTTGCATTAGAAACAATGCAGCATGAAAGGATGGACGATCTTTTGACAAATTGGGAGAAGAGGCTACAAAGGAAAGTGGGGGAGTTTGATGAGCTTGCCCAAGAGGTGGCTGCCGTAGAAGCGTCTCTTATAACACAATCACGAGCCCTAGCCACAATTCGCGAAGAGCAGCAGCGAGTGCATCGCCGGCAGTTGTTCGTTGGTGAAACCATCGACATGATTGAGCAGCAGCAGAATGACATCTCAAACCTATTGGCATCGATAGAAGGCAGCCTCCTAGCGAAGCTCTCCCCCCAAGAACAGCGGAGCATCTGTTCCACCGTCGAGCAGAGTATGTCAGAGCGTGTGCTAGATATTGACGCACAGATGGACGAGCTAAGTGATGCTATCGCCCAAGCAGCTCGGAGGACACAGCCGGACCCCGTAGCTGCCATTTCACAAGTGCTCGCGGTGCATCAAGCCGCACTCGAATCCGCCACTCAACAGTGTGCAAAGCTGGAGCAGTGCTTAAAAAGCCTCCAGAGATTTGTTGCGTAGGGTTGGGCATGACAGAAACAGCAAGTGGTTAATCTCGCTGAGTGCAGCGTGGACCGGTGCAAAGACGCACGCAGAACTGGATCAACCACCATTCGTGTCGTATAAGCTACCCCCCACCCCCCACCCCCCCCAAAAGAGCAGACAAGACCTGCTGCTAGTACATCTTTGCTCGGGGAAAATCCTCAGTACAGTTATCCAGGAGCATGAATCGTTGTCGATCTCCGCTAGTGTTCGCTATTGTGCACGGGTAGAAGACTGGTACGCCCAGCAGTAGACGTGTAGAGCAAGAACCAAAATATTCTGTAGTGTCTGTAGGTACTGTCTTCTTAGTCCCTGAAGCACGTAGATCAAGGCGCCGAACAGCTTTCGCCGTGCGCATGGCACAAAACTGAGAAACGTCCCTACACTGCCTTGCCGTTGCTTCTAACACTGCAGTGTTAGGGGCAACATTACACTGTAAGGACCGGGGAGCGTGAGCCTCGAGTACCTTGGATGACCCATGAGTCGCTTAACTGCTGCACCATGGCCCTTATATTACTACCAAGCACCTCGTGGGAAGTAGGCAGGTCGAAGCAGCAGCTGTCAAGTACCGCAGCCAGTGCCCCTCGAAAGGAGCAGAATCCGTGGACTAAGCTGGAGGCAACAGTAGCCCCGATCCTGCACCACGGTCATCTGCCGCGTCCGCCACGTCCACAACTCGAGCGCCGGCCAACGCCTCTGGATCCACTGGCCTCTTCAGCGCCGGGAGTCCAAACTGCCAAAAGCACTCTACCTGTTTAGCTACTTAGCACGGCTCTGTGATGGCGTCCGCCTGCGGTGGTGCACTATTGTCCACGGCAGAAGCCTGCTGCACTCGGCCCCACAATGCATTATCTGTGAAAACCAGCAACATGGCCGCCTGGACATGCCTCTAGTACCGCTCCAAAAGTTCTAACTGCCTGTGGATCCCATCATTCGCAACGCGTCTCCGTGCTTCGTCTTCCCTCGGATGACACAATGAACACGCGGCGGGTCCAACGACGGAGCTTACACACGGATCAACTGCTCATCCGTTCCACCAACGACGCGTGCTGTACGCCAAATTCAGATCGCTGCTTCATCATGCGGAGAGGCGATGTCCTCTGCTTAAGTCTTCGTGGGAGATTTGACACAAAACTAAGAACACAAACAAAGCAAACCAGCTGAAGCCCATATGGAACTCTTGCAACTTTGCAGTAGTCTACACAAGCTGTCACAAACTCGGGAGTCAAGAAAACTCAGGCGTGAGAATATCTTACAAAAGGCAAGCAAGACAAATGGCTGCGCTGTTTTGTCCTGCAAAAACAACACCCATACCACAGCGGCATGACGGAGATCGTCAAACCAGAGAGGAGGGGACGCTCAATCCAATGCCAGAAACACGAACCTCCTTAAACAAGAAGTGCCCGATACTACCAGACACTAGAACGGGCACGTCTGCAAACACCATGGAGAACATTAATCGACAGGGAACGGTACTTAACCGAAGCTAACTATAGCATAGCCTCTTACGTCTCGTCTTTCTCCTGCTGCGCCTCCTGTGCATTCTGCACAACGCCCTCACCCGCCCCGCGCTCTGGAGCCATTACTCTGAATTTTTTGGGGCAGCAGACAGCAAGCCATTCTACAAATATGACGAACACTGCATCCATGCGCAAGCTTTTAGAGCGACACGTCAACAATGAGCACGTTTACAGATACGATACCAAACATTGTGAAGAGCGGCATTAACGAAGTATCAACGTACGAGGGTCCTCCTGGGTTCGTTGCCATCGAATGGTTGAATAAATTGCCACTTTTCCCAGGGAAATAGTCTTTGCTGGCATCTCGGCTGCGCCCCGCTGAACCACAACGCCACCAAGACACGCAATAACCGCAATGGAACCGCCAAATACCTCAAACACCCTAAATGAGAAACCGGAATGCGCTCGTATAAGGTCTCACGAGCAAGCCTATCTTGTTCCCTTCTAGAGCGATGCCGTTGTTCTTGACTGCAGTGGCCATGCAAACGATCTCCCTGCAGTACAATGTAAAAATCATTCATTTGCGTGGGAGGTACAACTTCGGCATCATACAGGTCTCCTGGCAAAAATCCATCTAAAACGGTTCTCCCATCCGCTAAATCGGGCGTGCCACGGAACTAAAACATTTGCCTTCACACACATAGACCTCATTCTAGAATGCACCCAAAAGAACAGTGAAGGGTTATTAAACACAGATTGTACTCACTGAGTGACCAAGGTTTGAATTGCGAGCATTTAGCTTTGGCGTCCAGTCGAATGCAGCATCCTGCTGCTGAAGACACGTCGCACACTTTTTGAGAACCCGAGTGCCTCGGAGAGTGCCTGCAGAGGGATACCTGCTGTCGGCAGGAAAGCGGAAAGACTGAACAGATAGGTGAAAGTTGGACATGGAATGGCGGCTTACATCAAATCCCTCTTTAATGTAGAGATCTTTAAAAAGCCCACGGAGATACGCATAATCCGGCCGATCTTCGAAGCGGAGCTGCCGGCAATAGTTAAGATATGTGGCAAATTCCGCTAAAAAAGTAGCACAGCCACAGCGCGATCTTCCGTGAAGGGTGACTTCACACAGCATGTATGTGAAAGCCAATGTTGCAGCAGCCCCTGATGTATCCAACTGCGCTTACTGTAAAGAAAGACACCTAATACACAAAAGTCAGCTGGTCAAGTGCACACACCGGGGAATCCTTTGCAGAGGACCTCCACAGGAGTAGACATCTTCTTCTCCATGATCTTGTGGTATTTCTCCTGCTTAGTGTTCGCCTTAATGCCTTGCCAAGGTAGCGCCCCCGCTGCTCCACAAACTCACCAACACGCACGATTCCATTACTCAAACACAGCGGACAGAGTCTCCAACACTGCATGCAACCGGCGCCCACCAGTTTGTGAAAAAACAACTGTTACATGTGTATACTCACCCCTGCAGAAATACATGAGGACGTAGCCCACCGCCTCTAAATCATCCCGCCGGCTTTGCTCAGAGCCGAGGTGAGCACTAATGGAGGCATAACGGGCTGTACCCGTTAAGTTCTTGTTCTCCCGATATGGGATGTGCTGGTGTGTCTTTGGGTCACGGTACTTTTTTGCAAGCCCGTAATCTATCATGTATATCTGAACAGAAAATGCCGGGAGACACAGGTGACAGAAACTCCACCAGCAACCTCCAAGTGCAAAGTGTCGTAATTTTGCGCCCACAGTTTAGCCAGCAGTGTTCAGCCTGAAGTATAGAAAATAAATGCATATACTATTTATGTGGCATATTTCCGGGGTAGAAGGGATCTCACCACACTCTGGTGAGGCCCGTTTACTCTGCCGATAAGAAAGTTATCCGGCTTGATGTCGCGGTGGATGAAATTCTTGCTGTGTAAATACTCAACGCGGTCGAGCTGCGCAGACCACCCACGGTCTAAACTCGTCGTCAATTATCGCAACACCAAATCAAAGAAAAATCCAAAAGTCAAGTGAAAGAGAGAGAGAACAGATTGGTTCCACGTTTAGCAGAGCAGCACTGGCCTCTTGAACAGGCATGTCAGTACTCACAACTTGATCAGCGATCATGAGAATTGTCCGCAGCGTGAACTGCCGGCTGCAGAGGTTGAATAGATCCTCCAGGCTAGGGCCCAACAGTTCCATTACCATGATGTTGAAATCAGCCTCCGCATCACAGTAGTAGATCTGTGCTATGCCAGGGGCCCCTTGTAGATGCTTTATAAGCTTGGACTCATAAATGAGTTGGGGATGTTTTGCTTTGGCACTCTCTACCTTCATCGCCACCTCCTCTCCTGTCTGTACATTTACACCTAGAGCAAAAGCAGCCAAAATCCACAGGTCTTGCAATCCACACATGTCGCCTGGCTGGCCGATATACAGTACAGTGAGTGCAGATTTGCCTCGCTGCAGTGAGGCCGTCTGCTCGTCGCTGGACCTGCATTTGCGTCGCTTCCACAGGGATGCACTGTAGTGCCAGATACACGTAACCACCACAAAATTAGGTGTGCAGCGTAACACTAAACGCCTACCTTTGTAGATGTCTCCAAAAGACCCCGAGCCAATCTTACGGCCCAGCCGCCAGATGCCCCCAATCCTGGCATCTCTAAGGGGGTTTTGATTTGATTTGGAACTTTCTGCATGGTGCGCCATAGTGGCGTGCTATTCATTGGTGGCTCCTATGCAGCATATCAGCACTTACGCCAGAAGTGGCTGTCTATCGGGAGCCGCACGCGCGGCCTCCACTCCCTCGACTGGTGTTGAAGAAGAACTGTGTGGAGCACAAGCGCTACCGGACTTAAAGGGACACGACCACTTCTGATTTATAAAGACACAAAGACACTTTCCTCAATAAGTCCCGCCTGCTGAGGAAGCAGCTACGCCTTGCCAAAATGCACTTGAATGCGCAGACGGGCTCAAAAGCGGTCTTCTCAGCCCATGTGCCTTGACAAGACACAGTGACTCTCCTCAGGGCCTAGAAGTGCACACCAACTGTAGCTCCGTCCAGAGCACCCACGAGAATGCCGTCTTGATCAACTGGCCTGGCCACAATTTCTGCTGTACTAGCACGCTGAAGGTATATAAACGGGAACCCGTCTTCACCGCGGACCCTTAATATGCCTGCCTGCAAGAGTCCCTGGGGTCACCAGCCCGCACCCTGTTAACTGCAAGAACAAGAAGTTGATACGATGCTAGTAAGCGACCGAGACAATCCCCAAGAGCTCTGCCGCGGCTGTGGGTGGCGCGTGCGAGTTGTGCCAAGCACCACTAGGACCGCACAGCCCCGCCACTGCCGCGGCCTTCCCCGCCCGCGCTTCTTGCACGAGAAAAAGCAGTACGCAATTTGGTATCACAATGACTTGGGAATGCTACGAGCCACGAAGGCTCCGAAGCCACGCTGTTGCTTGGTGCCCTCTATGAAACAGTGCGGAACAGCCATTCTTAGTGTTCCTGCAAGAGGGCCACAAGGAAAAGGTGGCGATCGCACCCCCAGACTCTGCGGCGGTTGATGCGATGTTCTGCGAGAACAACAAAGAGGAAACGTGCGGCAAAGGTGTATGCGCCAGCTCTTGAAAGCCCCGGGAGCCTCCAGAGGGGAAGGCGAGCCTAGGGCTTCACCAGCAGGACGCTGAGAGATGGAGGTGCCCTCGTACACAAACAACTACTATGATGTGACAAGAAATTGATTAAACGGATGGAGTCACTGAGCGACGCAGAGGCCTACAGGTGGCATGCTTCTGCCGGGTCAACGAATCCCCGGCCAACCCGAAGATCCGCTGGCGAATGGCGGGACTTGGCCGCCGTCGCGGCAATCAAAACTAGTCAGCAATTATAGTTTGATAATGGGGATTTGTGCGAAAGGCCTCCAACCTAAAGGCACAGCAAAGCCCCTGAATGTTCAAGCGGCCGGCTCGCGGCTCGCGCCGCGAGAAGCGCCGCCTGCACATCAGCACCGCGGCCACATGCTGCTGGCTGCCAGCAGCTGCTCAGCATGCATAGCAAGGTGGTACCTCTAAAGCAGTATGGGATGTTTTTAGGAACTCATCTCTTTAAAGGTTTGCTGTTTAGCTGAAGCCGATGCTTACAAGTAGATCCACTTCACACGTTCTCTGTGGCCGGCCCATACAACACCTCTGGCTTCCAGGATATCATATGGCTGCAGCGCGGCATGTGGTGGTTTCCTTTCAGGAATACACAAAGCTAAAGCTGCCGCCTGTTACACTTGTTAGTTCCTCGATATGCAGCCTGAACTGAGACACCACTCTAGTGTGTGCACACGCTCTCTACCTTTTGGGTGGTCTGACGCAAGGGAGAAATGTCCTCTAGTATTCCCGCCGTTTTCAAATCTGCCCGACGTGGCGCATGAACCTTTACACGACCTGAGTAGCCAGCCGGCACGCAAGCAGCAGTCTTCAACAGTTGGCTACAGTGTTAGTGCACGCAACACATTATTGCTTATGCTTGCATGTGGGGCTGTCTTGCACCTTGAGTTGCAACAAGGTGCTTTGTAACTAATGGCAGCCTGATTCCGCTGCCCCAGCTCGAGGGGCTTGGGCCGCTGCGCTCAGGACAATTAACGGCTGGGGAGGCTGGTCAGCTGCTTCTAGGGAATTCCCAGGTGAAAGCTTTTTGGCTCCATTGCAGCAAACGACTGTATCCTTAGATAAGACGTAGGAATCTATTAACTGCAATGAAGTTGTTGTTACTCTGGAGCAGCGAAGTAACTGCTGTTCCTGCCGGAAACAACAGGTTGGCAAGCTGTTGGCAGAAAGGCCAGCACTGCTGGACCCGCCAGGCGTCCAAATGAGGAGCTGCAGTGTCTGTTCAGAAACAATTCTGAAATTCGGTTTTAACGTTCGGAACAAATCTGTGTATTATTGAGGACTTTGCAGACTGTGCAAAGTACTCCTGCTTTAGCAGCGAGTTACTTAATGGGTGCGGCAAGATGTTCCGACAAAGTGAGTCCCCTAGGAGGGAATACGCTATAGGTTGAGGGCTTGTAGATTTTCAGCAGAAGAAACAATGCTCTTTCTGTAGTGAGGACGGCCCTGGACAATTTCCCGTTGCCTGCGGGGTCCTGGAGTGCATAGGATATGTGCTGTCTGTAGATAACATCCAAGCATTATGTTGTTAACTGTCTTTAGTTCTGTGTTTTGAGGCACAAACTTGGAGGTCGTGCTGTCTCAACCAGACTGGGAGGGGAGCGGAACGTTCACTGGCCCTTTACTTCAGAGTACTGTAAAGGGGAACTTGTTGTTTTGGGAAATCAGGCCTGTCCGTAGCCTTCTTTTCAGCAGCTGGCACAGCCGTCTCCACCATTCCTTGTTGACAGGGTGTAGGTTCTATGTGTTAGGGCCGCATGCCGAAGGTAACTCTAATGATCCCTCAAATTTGTTCGAAGCTGTTGCGAGGTGCAACCGAGTCCAAATATTGGGAGCAAGCGTTCACCGGGTAGCTGACCTCCCTTCCAATTCCCAGGCTCCCGAGTGGTGAAGGCCTGCGCGTCTCTGTGATAACGGAGCCCTCTATCTTATCCAAGGACTAGCGTGGGCTGCAATGGAGCGAAAATCATGCGAGCCAAATAGTTGTGGGTTCCCAGAAAGCATTTAGCCTATCGCCCCAGTTGCCAGGCTTCATGAGAGCAGTGTTTCAAGTCCCATGATCTGTGGTAGAGAATTCGGCTTTCCATTAGCTGCAGTGCACCTTGCTACATCGCAAGGTGCAAGACAGCCCCACATGCAAGCAACAGCACGCCTCCTGTGCTGCAAGCGTTAACACTGTAGACAACCGTTGAAGACTCCTCCTTAAGCGCCTGTCGGTTGCTAAGGCCGACTAAGCGCTTATGTCCCCTCTACAGGCAAACTTACTAACATTGGACAGGCAATGCTACGCAACGACCCATGTTACAGGCCGGAATCGCTTCAACAAGTAAGAAAGGAACAATAACCCAGGCAGGGTCCTTCCTAAGTTTTCTTCTTGCCTTAATGGCCGATACATTCGACCCCTTCGCACCCGATGAAATCCAACCTTGCAGCTAGCGTAACGAAATGCACTGCGCTCGGAGACCGGGTAATCCATTCGAAACTCATGATATCTTCCGAATAAGATGATGAAGCGCTCATTGTGCAATGTTTATCATTGCAAAGAAAGCAAAGCCTATTGGGATATTGGTGGTTGGCTTACATGTAAAGTTTATTGCCCGCAGGATCCAGCATGGGACTAACAACTTGCCAGCAGCCAAGCCCACCCACTCGTCTGTTTGGCCCTGACAGTTCGACTGGGCCACAAGCACCATCCCATTTTCAGCAAGCAAGCCCTCATCCCTATAGAAAATTATTCTATGTATGCACTTAGGTGTATTTTTACTTAGCATCCACAGAACAAGGGTCAGGAAAGGGCTTGCTACTCCGCTCGCGCCTCTTGCCCCCCGAGGTCCCACGGGCGGCAGTCCCTCCTGAGCAGAGCATTGCTGCAACAGGAGGTTGTCTCTTCACTTCGGGTGTTGGCAATACCCATATTTATATCTCTGTTTTTGCGAACAAAGAATTGTACCCTCTGCGTCAATACAGGGAAGTAGCTTGGTATCTTCAGTCGCACTGTGGGGCCGCCCTCACCACCACCGTTTCAAGCAACAAGGCGGAGTTGTTAAGGCCTTCCCCATTCTCGAATTGGCATTACTCTATCAAATTCCATTCTAGCTAAGGCATTAGGTGCTGCGTCTTCGCGGAACAAACCCCTAGGTACCGCGGATCCCCCGTGGCCTCTGACGATCGCTCTGCACTAGGCAGGAAAGGCAGCACCAACAGGGCTCATCAAGTTTAATCGAGCTCGAACGACCATGGGGAAATTCAAAACTTTGGTTCCTTGCTTGTGCTGGAAGGGCTCTGGAAGTGTTACCCAGCCAGACAAGCGGCAGGCTGTGGGCGCCGAGCCTTGCAGTCAGCCGTTAGACGCAAAGTGTTCCGGGAAATCACCTTCTCAGGAACCCTTGGAGAAGGTGCAGGACACCTTGCCTTGTGCAGATCCTCAATTTGCCCCTGGGCTGAAGTCTCATGTGCAACCGGCTGTAGCAAAGCTCGTTGCTGATGAACCACTGAACGACGCAACAGCAAACATCGTAGGGAGTGCGACGAAGCAAACAGCAGGAGATGGGAATCAGGAACTTCCCATATCGGCGTCTGCAAGCGAGAAAGAAAGAACATCAGATGTTCAGTTGCTGTCTCAGGACAGGAGTTGCCTTGAGGCAAGCATTCCAGTTTTGGAGGTAAAGCCAAAATGCCATGAAGAAAGTCGCAACACGTCTCAAGAAACAACAACAGGGAACGAGAGTAGAGTAACATCCTCGCCTGTTTCCATCGTGTGCCCAGCTTCCACGAGCGGTGGAGAAGAAGACCGTCGAACAGTCGTTTCTACCCCTCCTACTCCCGGATGTCAAGAGAGAGAAAGCGAACAAAAGGATGTTCTTGGAGACAAAAATGCCATGAAGGATCAAAAGAAGGAAATCCATTCACCTTCAAGTGTACAGACGATGGGATTGGGTACGGAGGCAAATAATGAATGCAACCAAGCAACCACCTCGACCATTGCTGACCCAGGAACCCCCGATAGCCATAAAGACGGGACAGGTGTAAATAACAGAATACAGGGGGACCAGAAAGAGGATATAAAGTGCTCCTCCATTCAGCAGACAGTGGAGAAGGGAGTGGAACCAAATACAGCATCAGCTGAACCTGCTAAGCCCGACGATGATGGCATCCAAGAAGCATTGGATGTTGGGAAGGAAGCCAAAACAAACTCTAGTACGAAGAAAAGGAAATCCCCTCGGAACAGGAATAGGAGGACTCAAGGCGAAGCGAAGCCAGGGCAAACTGTTGACGCGGATGAGAAGGTGCTTGCCGTCGTAGACAGTATCGTGGCTGATGGTGAGTCTGTGGGAGTTAGGCTAGCCGAGCAGCCAGAAGGGGAGTCACCGGCCCAAGAGAATCCTGGCAGGCGAACTGGAGATGCGAAATCGATGCGGAAAAACAGGAAGAAGAAGGCAAGCAAAGCCAAGGGAAAGAGACGACATGGGAGAACGGGAAGGCGTTAACAGCAGCATATTTTAAAATACTCTCACCTCGTCCGGAAAAAACGATCATACAGGCGCAGGGCGTTTTCCTTTGGCATATTTACTGTAAAATTTGCAAAACGATGCTCCTTTGTGTCAACGTAAAACCGTTATGGCTCGGATATTTGGTGCGTCAAAACAGTTTGGATTTCTTGTACAAGAAGTGGTACACCGCCATGAAGGACGCGCAGCAGGCGTGAGGAGCCTTTGTTTCCGAAGTCTTTACCATACTGGGAAATGCTAGTTTACAGCCAAGGGAAGATTTACTTTGGCGAAGCCACTGTATTACTTGTCATGATTGCAAAGCTACAGGACGCTTTTCGTTGTCAACTCCACTGTCTTGTAGCGTGAGTGGATCCAGTCATGCCAGGCTGGGAACTGTACAGTCTTGTGCATCCGATGCCTGCTAACTTGTTCGCTGTTGTGACCTTAGCTTTAAACTGGGTTCTATTGTTAGCCTATCAGCTTGCCCCAAATGAGGTTTTTGTCAGCCTGCTAAGGGACAATGATCGTTTCGAAGGGTGCACCTGTTACGCCCAAGGTAATTGCTTCCATTTATGGGAGAGTTGTTGGAAGGAGCAAACAGCGTAAAGGCGAGGGTCAAGCCAGTGCTTTTTCAACACTTTGATTAAATGCCCATACAGGTGATAGGGGAGACCTCCAGGTTTCTGCTGCAGCGCCTTCTGCGCTACGCAGCTAGAAGACAGTTTTTTCTCCACCCAGTACTTTAGCGGCTTAGGTATGATGCCAACGCGTGCTCCACGCTAATAAGTTGTTCCCACATCTCATTGCCAGCATAAACCAAAGGCCAGATTTCGTTGCAGATGCCTTTATGCAGCCGAATCACTGCTGGTGTGCCAGTACTTCCAGATTCGATAGATATCACATTTGTATATTTTACTTACGTGGAACTGCCACACCCTGCAACCGGCAGTTTCTAGTAGCTGCACAGGCGGAAGCAGAACGTCAGTCACATGGTCCCCTACGCTAGTGCCCCTGAACACATACATTGGGGAGCTAACAATACTGGGCAGCAAAAAGCAAGCGCACTCACACCGATAAAAAGAACAATGTATTAATCGAACAATGTATTAACGTAATGGAGTAACGTGAAACAGCAAGGTGTGTGTTGGAATATTAGTCCGATTGCGAAAAAGGCACCCCGCACAGCCTAAGGACAAAAGCGGGTATCACATTTTGCTGAACGTAACCCTTTACCCACGTCTAACGAAATGCTTTTGACGGGTCCCGCAGGGTGGAAGGACAGTGAGCAACAGACTTAGCGTTGCGTACACCACACACCTACGAGCCTGTTGGGCTGGGCTACTGCAAAGCCGTCGTCATTTATGCCATTCCCCATTAACTCTGGGGTGCTGTCTGCCAAGGAAGACCGACAGACTCGGTCTGATAATTAAACAGCTGCCCCCAACGGGCAAACAGTAAAAAGCCGCCACCCTTTGCTATCAAAGAGACATCTTCAACGGTGCCCTTCTCTTCCGTGCTTCTGTTCGTGCCGGAGACCCTCCTCCCCAGGCTCTAGCACTTGATTTCTACCACGGGAGAATACCGTGAGAGTCCCAATTGCCAGTGGAGGCCGGAAGCCTTCTCGCCACACGAAGCCATATATGGAAAGCCGCAAACGGCAGAAAAGAACCCATGTCTGGCCCCTTGGGCACAAAAGGCAAGGAATTCATTGACTCAGGGAAGGACAAAGTAACCAAATGGCGATGCATGCTGCTAGCATGCGGATGTCGAAGGGTGGCAGGCCACAAAGAAATGCATAAGAAAACAGATACCCGCATGCTCCCCAGTCACTCCACTTTCGACTGTTTGACATCACGATGAGCCATTTGCTGTCCTGCGGAATCCACATCTGGAACTCTTGAATGCAGGTCTCTCATTTGACCGCTGAGGATGAAGTGAACAAACATCTTCACCATCAGCACAAACCTGCAGAAGCATGCCCACACAGGTAAGCAGGTACGTGATATCTGCATGTGCCAAAATCATGTGCAGTCAGCTTTATCAACGTGCAACTTGAATCCGTTAGCCTGTTTACTATTCCCCTCTCTTTATTTACGGTGCTGTGATGCTCTAGTTGCATACCAATATATGTTCATGAGGCTCAGAGTAAGGAGAATGAAAATAAAGTAGCTACTGCCCTCGGTCTCAGAATGGTCCGGACGGGTCTTTATTGCCTTAAATATGGGGAAAAGGGCGGCCGATGGGAAGGTGTACAGCCGGAAGTAAAACCAACAGCTCGTTAGCAACAAAAAAAGTCCAACAGTAACTTTGTGATACGGCGTGTCTACAAACGCCTTGCACCTGAGCAGATACACCGCATTGGATCCACCAGAAGACAACAACATAGTAAACAACTAAGGCGCCTATGATAGTAAGAGGCAACCAAGAAATCTTCCTACCAAGAACACACCCGAATGTGAAAATGTCACAGATATCGTGGCAAAATAAGATGACCACGCCAACCCTCAAGAAGTTGCTCATGTAGGAGAAGTAGATGAGACAAAGAGCTGCAACACAAGGAAGCAGCTGGTCAAAGAAATCGGGAAGACATGGTGACTTCAAAATGTAAATCAGTGTCGCTAAGTGGTGGCCGAATGCAACGTAGAAGTACAGATGGCAATACATGCTGTTCTGTTGCATCGGGTATCCTGCAAAACAAACAACCACACGCTCAAAAGCGCGTTGTACTGCTGCTTCGAGTGTCCTGCGTATGCGCACAGCCCTGAACAATCTGCACTGTTTTAAATGCGCTCTGGGCAGTGTTGGGTTTAGCTTGGAATGCTCCGTCAGATAGGATGTTGTGTCAAATCAATCTAGTGTACGCATACCCCAAATATGAGTACCGATCAAGTCTTAAACGGGTACAATTCTGTACTTAGCACGCCTTCCGATGTATGAACAAACGTAAACAACGAAAGCGCAGTACGGCTCACCCTTCCACAATTCTTCTTCCGCACCCTCGCCGCCGAGTTGTTGTGGCCACCACGGCTCATTGCGAAAAAAAAGGAGGCACAAGGCTGTTGTCATCAAAAAGTACAACATTTTCCAAGTCATTGCCCCGAAATGCGAGCACAGAAGTTGTCGCACCTGCTCGCTCCACCGGCTGCACGAAAAAAAAGCCACAAAAAGTAAAAGCTGACGTTGTTACGCCTAAAATGTCTATTCCTAGGATGCAGGCACCAAAGGAAAAGGGAACAGAGTAAGACTACCAATACACTGGCGTGCTGTACACATGGGGTGCCATGCACTGTATACTTCAAAGCCATGAAAAGCACACGCATCAAAACGACAGCAGTGAAACCGGACTCGCGCGGAAGCAGGCGATCCGCCAGCGGTTTTAGAATCCATGTGCAGAAGCCCTGAAACACATGATAACAGAAAGCCTTGCAGTGTGCTCTCATCCCCTCGTTCTCGAACGGAATACAATGTTTGACGTCTATCAGATACTGCGTGTGGCAACTGGATGTAAGCATCGAATGGCTAGGTTGCAGCAAAGGAACTCACCTGGAGGATAAGGTAGAGCGCCGCTGCTGCGGAGCCATAAATCCGTAAGTCACTCGGGTCCGGATAGCCTCCGCCTGGGACACCAAGACGATGACGAATACTTCCAGCCACCTTAGGGTAGTGCAGTGCCGACCAGCCGGCAATGACACCCAGGAGAATGCCGAAAACACGGTCCAACCGAACCATTTTAGCGTTGCATGTGCAACTTGAGGTTCTTCAGCTTATTCCCACAAATGTGCGCTGGAGCACGTGGACACAACGGATATTTAGCGAATACCTCCGGCGTCCCAACCCGCTGCACGCTGCCTTTTAGAACAGCTGCCCTAGCGGTGTTCCACCTTGAAGCCCAGCCGAAGAATGGTATGCAAACGCATGAAGCTCCTAGTGAATACACAAGTTCGTGTAGGTTCAGATGAACGCGTCAAGTCCGTCTAGTTAAAAAGACACACACAGAGCATATAAGTATTACAATACTGAAGAAGTGCACTTAATCCAAACATCAGAAAATCTACGGGCCCCTCCAGTACTCCACGAAATGGCCCCTGGGCATTCGGGCCACAGTCACACAATCAACGAGCACGTACACGCCCAGAGAGGCAAAGAGCCCAAGTGTACACTAAAAGGGGTATCCAGGACAGTTGTCAGGAAGAGGGAAGCTGGATCTGCAGGGATTCAGCCGCAGCGCATGCTCAGTCAGCCCCCACCAACTGGGGCAGCCGTTGAACGACCACAGAACATCCGAGTTAGCAAATGCTCGCAGACTTCTTGCTGCTCCGTTTAGGTTGGAATTATTTTTAGTTTCTTTAAATGGTCTGGAAGCTTCTTAACATACTGTATTCCGGCGATACGTGTCTCTCGCGGTTGTCTGATGAATACGCGCACACATCTCGGCCCGCCATGTTCCGTTGTTGTACGTCTTGCGGATGCTTCAGTTTCTGAAGAGTTCACGCGTTTATATGCAGGTCTGACCTCCGACTAATATCGCTGTTACGGATCATTTGCCCAAGCGTAGCCCGCCGTGCTCCCTCCCCTCCCAGAACGGACAACCCTGCAGCTGGATGTTTTCTAGGGCTACCTCTGCGGGTCCAGGAAAAATGATGTTTTGTTTGCCTTTTTGAAGTTTTGGATTTTATTTTTGAGGTCGACACAATATGGAGAGGCTTGCCTCCCGGTGTCCTATTCGGTACCCTGCGCGTGGTGCGCGACTCCCGCGAATCCGATTTCCTGTACGATTTTTTAGTCTTGCGCATACCGCTTGTCTTTAGTATTTTTAAGCGTACAGTTCTTCCGTTTAGCGTCATGCAACCTTCTTCCCTGCTCAACTTTGTTGTCTAACCCGAGTTACTGGTCATCCCGTACCCAACTTCTCTGTGCTTGCAGTGATTTGGAGCTCGTTAGGTCCAGCCAGGTCTTGCTTTTCCATTTTTCGTGCGGATTGAACTTAATTTTTCTGGCTCTCTCATGTGCAATCGCATGAAAGCATTCTTTGTGATGACAAATGCAACGACAGCTGTGTAAACACATGAAATGAAAGTTTGGTGGGTTGCTTACATTCTGCAGTACTAGTCGTAACAGACCTCCAGAGTGTATCCTGTATCGGGATTATGTTGCAGCGTGTGGTCCAACTTGTCTAAGGCAACATTTCCCTCATCCAGTCCCAGGCCGGCTGTGTCCCAACAGCAGTGTGGGTTACCGAGACTAGACATACTCACCACTTTGTCGGGGTCTACAAGGGCCTGTGCTAACTTTAGGGGTCTTCTACATTCGTGATTAGGGCAAGGTGATGCCTAATGCCACTGGCCTGGTCGCTGCTGTACATGAGCGGCCGCGTGTATGTTGGAAGAATGGAAACATGCAAGCTACACAGTATGCAGATTACCTTTCGGTTAGCAGATCTGTTTCAAGCATTACTTCGGCACAGCCACAGTGTTTTTATGATGACGCGAAGAATGACTGTATGGTCACTCGGCACTTCGGCTCCATGGAAACAATTGAAGACGTGAGCCCGTTGTAGAGCATAGCTGTCTGCTGTAGTACGCGTTAACAATTGGTGAGAAGCGATGTCAATTTTAGTGGGAGCTTCTGAATTCTAGTTCCATGAAATCTGTGTGTTTCGATAGTCCCTGCTTCAGCTGGAGTCTCATTTTCATCGATATACATAGTTGGAATATCGCATAGATTTTCTGCACACGGCTAGCCTCTTTACCCAATCTCCCCCATACCCAGTTAAGCAGGCTCTTGACCTAACCACCGCTGTTCCTTTCCGTGTCGTTGCGAATATCGTCAACTATGCAACCGTCAGCGTGCTCATTAGTGAGGCCTCCTACTTCGCGTTCTTGCGTACCACCACACCGCTTCCAGCTCAGAGTAGAGTAGCGGCTTGCACTGGAGCTCAGGTGGGCTCTTCTCCCCCAGTCGGATTGCTCTGGTCAGTGGTATGATAAACTGCACCTCCATCCTTTACCCACAGTGCTCTCTGTGTCCCGAAGCACGGCCTTTGTTTAGTTGAAGTACCGCACTCTAGATAGGGATGCGACCGCCCTAGCGTCTAGGAGGTTCCCACGGGGTTATGGAGTCCTGCGGACGAATGAAGAGTCTTCGAATACCTAGCCTGAATCGGTATGCCAGTTGAGCAGGGCTCCACTCCTCAGCAGGCATCAGTACCTTTTGGGGACCCCCGAATGCGGACCGGGCGGGCACTGCCCGAACTACGTCATTTGGTATCTGTAGCTGCAGAAACTAAGGCCTTACGTCAGTACGACGGGGCGATTATGACATCTAGAGAAACATGCGTAGTATTGGGGGTTGTAAGTCGCAAGTGTTCTGTTTTGCCCGCCGTTACGCTCTGCTTGCCGAGAAAAATCCAATCTCCTTAAACTTTACAGAGGACAGCTCACACTTTTCTTGCACTAGGTTCGCATTCAACAGTATTAGGAGCCCCAGGGAAGTGTGGCGACAAAAACCTGGCGGAAGGAAGGCCCTCAGAAGGTCAGATAGCAGATATGAGCAGATTCCCTGCCAGGCTGGCGAAACTGGTGCTGAGTGCATAGACTTCCGTGTGGGGTCACCACTGGTCAACCACCACCCTCCTTTGACTTTCACGTGACAGTCAATGTCATTTCTCTGACTATTTTCCCTCCAATGGCTTATAAATCACCCAGATGCATGCAGACCCAACAGTTTTGTGCAGAGCCTGTTGTGCCCGGCGAAGTAGACTGCTTCCGCTCCGCACGTTCCACGAAGTAGCCAAGTGGAACAAATGGCACGGACCAAACGAGAATTGAACACAATCTAATTTTCCACTAAATTTGATGGTACTATCTCACTTGTTAATTGTGTAGGATAATATTGTCACATTTAATGAACCTCCTGTTATTTAACCAGGGCCCACTTGCTTGCGAACGTCGGACGGGGTTGCTTTGCGAAGGCTTTTCGTTGACAAATGCGGATTTCAACATCACAAAGACAATGCAAGTGCATTTAAGTTGATATTTTTGGCCTCAACGTATCTGGACGCCCCTTGCCGTCCGTGGGAGCCGTGCCGAAGTATCACGGTGTAATGCTTGCCAGGCAATCACAGGGGTAAGAAGTGACCCCTCACGCTGATGTCATACTGCTAGTTTATATTGGCTAGTAGGCATTGGATAAGGGGCTGGAGTTTGCTGGGATGTTCGAAACCCCATCTGTAGCTGGTTGTACGAAGCGTGAACTTCCTTTCCTGAAGCAGCAATGCTAAACAGCGTGTGGAGTAAGTTTGTCCCCAGTAGAAGCCGTCAAATGCAAGAACCACAGCAAGAAGTGGTTGGAACGTGTGAAGGTGTTCTGGCGAGAGTTCCTCCTGCGGTGGCGGGAGGGGAGTACACCAGCGTGACTGTCAGCGAAAGTGATGGTGCTGGCGTTACGCTAGCACCTTCATCAGGGGACCGCGTTTGCAGCTGCACTGCTGACCACAGTGAATTCGCGTATTTTCTTTGCATATGCGAGGCTCAACAGCCAGCTGGTAGGCTCCCCATCAGCAGGGACGGCTGTGCGCCTGACCCTCGCTGCGCCAGTCGACTCAGTCATGGGTGCATTTGCACCGAATGCAGTTGCGCCTGTGCTTGTAGAGGGGCAAATGGTGCAAATGCCGAGGTGAATATAAGTGGCACACCTCTTCTATCTCCTCTGAGCGGATCTCCAGAGCGTAGGCTCCAAAGTAAGGACCCAACGTTAGTCCAAGATGGGCAAACAGGTCTTCCGATCCCTGCTGACAAGCCAAGACTAGGCGGCCGCTCAAGGGAACGCGAGTGTCTGCCGGAATTTCAGTCTAACTCCTGTGGCTTCAGCGTACCGCAGGATCGCCAAATGGCACCATCGCAGAACAGCGATTCCCAGTCTCAAGCACATTGGTTGACGCTGCCACCGTCTCTTCCTGTGGAGGAGGGGTCAATAGTGTCGAACAGCAGTGACTCCGGTAGGTTCCCACTCCCATTTTGAAAATCACGCGGTATATGTGCACTCCGCAGTGATTGATTGTACTGTTTATCCATCATCATCTTTGAGCAAGCTCGTGTTGTTCTCGTTTGATTATCAAAGCGACTGAATAGGCTTAATACGAAATGTTCGCAGGACACCCGGAGGGATGGGAACATGTACGCTGCGACGATACAGACGCAACGCATAAGCAGAGTGATGACACTATGCAAACAGAAGGGGAATTTGAGAGTAAGCCACTGCGTGGAAACGCTACACCGGGGCATCAGGAGGCGGGAACTGACACATTATCCGGATGGAGTTCACCTTCCGCCGAATTTGAGCTTATCGCTGACGCTCCTTGGTGCGACGTGCGGCAACTGCTTAGAGTTTCCAGTGGACAGAATGCAGTAGGAATGGATCTTGCATGTTCGGGTCTCACGTCTGCCTTAATGGGGGAAAAAAGCAACAGTAGCAACGCTGCTGAAGCGCTCGCCACAATGGGTGATGAGGCAGAAGAGGGGGAGGGCGCTACAGTTGCTGCAGATAGTGGCAGGACAGACCGTCAGGGCTGTCCTGTGGTAAAGCTTCTCCGTTCTGCTGTCTACTCAAGCATCCTATCCGGGTCAGATTTCATCCGGCGTCAGGGCACTGTCGGTAAGGCCCCCTTGGGGACGAGAGCAACGCCTGCTCCTGACTCATCATCAGCAATCCTCAGTGGATGGGGCGGGAGGTGGCAGCTTACTCCAGTTGATCCACCTCTAGACAACTTCTCCAGCAGCGATAGGAGAAGCGGCAGCGACCAGTTGCATCCTGCGTTTTCATATACGGATGAAGAAGTTCCAAGGGGGCTGCAGGGAGATCATCGTCAGTTACAGGCTCAGGTGCAGAATGTGATCTCCAGTGATTCTGATACTGTGAGGCCTCGCTCCCCTATGGGCAGCCGTTCACTTGCAGCCAATAGCGGTATGCAGCAGAGAACAGTACCTACTGACGAGGCAAATGCAGCGATCTATTTCGATTCTTCAAGTGTTGCATCTAAGGTGAGCATGGCTAGATGCGTTTCGTCTCTCGTGGGAACTGAATCAGGTTTCCCCCATATTGCTCTGAACCACATTGCTGTATTCCTACCCATTGCTCTCCTTTCATTTTGGTTGGCTTGGCTCTGCTCCTGTGCGTAGCTACGTCCATGTTGAGTGGGCCTTGTTTTCGTCGAGCTTTCGTGGGTTATGCAGGTGGAAGCTGCACCGTCTTCCGCTAAGGATTCATATACTGGTGGCATTGGACGCCGTCGAGCTTCGGCCACCGGCCTTCACGACCTCAACGTGCACCGTGTCAGCCTCGTAATAATTCCACTTGCCCTGATTTAGCATTTTGCCTTAATTGGAAACTTCAGGATTCTGTCTTCGGATGTGGCCTCGCGTCCGCTCTTGCGCCGTCTTCTGCAAGTTTAGCGAACTGGGGAAGAGAATGGCGTGCTGCCATTTTCCCTCCTATCCAGCTGTGTTATTTTGTGTTGGCCGGACACATATCTTGCATCGGCTTATCGATTGTTATCTAGATTATGTTATACTTCCATGTTTTAACGGATGCGTGGGACCATAGTAATTCTCAAATGATTCGTTCTGCATCGCTTTCGCACTGCTTACCCATTCGCTGTCCTTTCATTCATATGTTGGTTTCGCCAGTAAGTGTTTCTGTGTGTTTTATTGTTAAATGTTCGCACACAGAATAGTCACGCATGTACGCATTAACACTGCCACTTTTTCATAATTGGTGCAGTCAATATGGGACGATATGGCTGTGCGTGTGTAAGCACACAAGCAAGATTGCGAGATTGAACGCTACTTAACAGGGCCACTAGGCAGTACCACTCAAACAGTTACATCCACAGGCTCTATTGCTTCAGGTTGCTGCCATTCGAGTCCAACCCTTTGGACAGTGCATGGAGGCTTCTTAACGGTTATCTGCGTTTTTCTGGCCTCTCGACTCTATGAATCAGGCGCAGCAGCACTTGGAGGGTCAGTCTAGGAGAGTGACGAAAAGGGGCTTGCGGTTGAATATTCTGATTACATCCTTGCCTGGGGTGGATACTGGCTTGTTCTGCAGGCATATGTTCGCTGAGGTCAGCACAATTCTGCACTGTTTCATTCGGTTGCATTATTCTCCGTCGCTAGACAGTCTGCACGCAGAAAAATGCCCTCTATGGCTTTACTCAAGTGCTGTGTGGGTTGAGGGTTTTGTTTTATTTGGATCCAGTGGCAGGAAGTTAGTCGTCAGCGCGTCTCATGTGGGGAGGAGTTTGTTTTCCGCTCTCCCTGTCTCGTTCCTACAGTCGAGGGTAAGTTTCATTGCTCCATCACTTGGGCCTTCGCACTTCACAAGAAGATCTGTTTCATGGGTGTCCAGTAAGGAACAAGCGTAAAGCTCAGCGTACATCTGAGTGGATGATATTCACTTACACATTGACGCTGTGTTTGTGCTTGGACCTTGCAGTCCCGGTGATTGCGACTACAAGTTTTGCTTCTGCCCTTCCGTATTGTGAGCTTCGCCTGCTGGAGGAATGGGGACAAGACATGGTTCTGCAGCAAGAGGTGGCAGAGCGAAGGGTGTGCAGTTATGCGCCATGCCCGTTGAGTTTTATGAGTGGCAGTATGGCCTCGGAGCGAAGGCTTCACATACACATCTTGACCTTAGCTCACGCAGGATCGCCTCATCGGTCGTACGCCAGTGTCCTCCTGTTTTGCCACGAAACTTAGATTATACACTATTGTTTCTGTTGCAGGTTCACGTTTGCCTTTTTCTCATCCCACACTCCGCCCTACCGTTATCCACCGGAGTTCTGGCTTTGCTGAGGCGCCTCCGTGCCGTGGCCTGCATGCTCCCCGTTTTGATTGTGCAGCAGAGTGCATCATCAGAACAAATATTACGCGAGTAAGGCCATGCTAGGATTGTCCGCAGACATGACTGATGCTGCCTAGCGTTGTAAAGAGCCAAAGGGGATTTTTGCTGTTTCTCACAGTCCGTACTGTTGCTTGCCCACTGTGGTGCTTGGTGCTGCAGTAGAGGGAAACTTAGGCTGCAACTTGCGGCTTCTGATTTGGCGACTCTGGAGGAGATGCTGCTTCCCTTGCACCCAAAGCCATGGGGGCCCGAGGCTTGTGCACACTGCCAGAAAAGAATGCATGAAAAAGACCAACTTTCCCAAGTGCATTCTGAACCGTGGTCATTCCTGCTCACCAGAGGGCTTTTTAATGGTGACACAGTCAACTCCGAAAACCCTTCTGACGCCACGAACCAAGACACTCCAGAAGCACAGAGACCCAGAGACGATAATGAAGAGGGCATCAATAACAGCGTCAGTGGCTGTATCAGGAAGGCCTGTAGTCAACGGCAGCCCACTGAAGGTGAAGGCGAAGGAGGGCTGCGGCCTGACACATTGGAAGAGGCGTCAGCACCAGCAAACGGACTCCGGTGCAAGATGCAGGGATCTAGTGGTATCCCTCGGGGTCTCAACGCTGTTCACCTTCCACTTGTCCTTCAGCTGCCGCTGAGTGATACAAGTGGTGGTAAGGACTCGCGATGCGCATGCACAGAGAGGACCAGCGGCTCCAGCGAGGAAGTCACCACCCCGTTATCACTGCGCGGCATGCTGGTGGAAGCATCTGCGGGACTGCTGCATCGGCGAGCTGAGTATGGATGTTTCTTGCCATTTCTTTTCCAGCAACAGATGCAGCCTAACCGAACACAGAAGCTGCGTGGTTTGCAACAGTGGGAACATCAGGAAAAACAGCAGAGAGAACAGCAGGAGCACGTCGAAGCTCTTGTAGACCTTCGTCAATGGCAGATCGACAGGCATCCAAATATAGACACAGCAATGCAAATGCAGAGACAGCTTGATGGGCAACGGGAGCAGCTGCGCAAAATGCAGCAGCAGCTCCTGCATCTCCAGGAGAAAAGATTTTTACAGGAGCTACTGACCGAAGAGGCAGAGTTGGTGCCGCCCCACCCTAGCCCCCAAAGAAGTGTGTTTCTGCGGAATAGTGGCACAGACAGCGGCGAAAGAGAGGAGCTGCTTTCTCAATTGGCTCAGACTGGCGTTGTCTTAGCTCTTATGCTAGGCGTTGGTACCATTTTGTTCAGTAGCATGAAACGCGGCAACTTCTGAAGGCTCAGAGGCACCGTTAGCTTCAGACCTCCCGAATGAGTTTTTCACTGGTTTTCTCATTGAAGCAATTGCCGCTGTCCAGGAATTGATTGGATACGGCCTTGAGAGCATTTCCGATGGCAAATGGACTAGCGTTGCCTTCCCACGTGCATACTCAAAATAAATTATCTGCTCGCAGTGAATTGCCTAGTAGTAACCGTGTGCCTACGAAGGCGCAGCTCGAGAGAGGACTTACGGCAATAGCAACACGGGTAGACTTGCTCTTCGCTGGCCTGATGTTGCTCATATTCCGCCCCCGCTGCGCCTGTCCCTGACAGCAGTACGGCGCGCCCCAGTCATTCCTTGTTGGTTGCCGGTTTGCCTCATCTCTAAAGCAGTCAGTGCTTTGCACGAGAAGCACCCATGGTATGTTTTGTCAGTTGAGGATGGATCACTGAGGAAGGTATTGCCTCCTTCTATGCACAACAGCTGCACAGTACAGTGACGGCTGGAATACACTACTGAACTAGGCCTGTTACTTATTGAGCCCCGTTATTCCGGGGAGCATTGCCACCTTCAGGCAAAACAAGCGCAAAGTTTGGCGGACGGGACTGCGTCGAAAGCCAATGCTGTCGTCTGACTTAGAGCTTTCGGCTGAGCATCGCCATCGCGGTGAGTCAGAACCCTAGCGGAACTGTTTTCTCTAGCCTGATGCATCCGCGGGGAGAATGTCACGTCTCATTTGTGATGTCCACACCGCAAACAACGAGTTGTGACTAGAGGTGTCGGCGTGCTGGCAGGGCAGTGTCCTCCGCCCCGAGTTCCCGCACTTGAGAAATAATCTCAAGGGCACTCCGGATAGATCTGAAAGAACAGTGCACACAACGCGGCTTCTACCCGTAGCACCAAACACGCAGTCTGCAGAAACAAGCTATACAGGACATCCCAACCAACAGCAAGAGGTTTCGATCTTCGGACGAATGGTGCAGCTGGAAATATTGCTGCACGCCATGCTGAGGTAGGAAGCCGAACGATGAGTGAATGCAGAAGTTGCATCGGACAAAGTGGCAACCCTTCACCGCGAATATCTGTGAACTGGTGAACATTCCACCTTGCAGCTAAGGCACAAAGATCAATGGAAGCAAATGCCTTTACAACTAGCAACCAGCAATGAGGGGGCACTACCGGATGGATTGCCTACTTCAACAGCTGCTTGCATTGCTGTCGCTTCGCACTGATATCTCCGGCTTCCTTCATGAGCTCCCCAAAGAGCTCTGGTTCATAGCACATGCACAGTAGAGAAACATCAGTGAATGTACACAAGCGAGGGTCCACCTACGGCCGCATACAACCGCTTGCACAAACGCTCATACCAAAACACTCGTTACATATCCCTTTCCGGCCGCCTGGCTAATTGGAGGTAGTATGCTCCATGTGTCAGTTGACGCTAGCTTGCTTTATCTGCACGCGGATTGACGCGTGTGATTGAAGCCTGCCTGACCTTCTCTGTAGAGCTGAGCTACTAGCTCTCTCTGTAGTACATCCTTAGCCGTGTTCACCATGAAGTACATGATCGCCTTCGGCACCGCATCAGCGACATTCTTCCTGAATGACGTACATTTTGACAAACCCAATTGTGCTTTCTCATGGAACACCATATCCAGATGCATTTGCTCAGACAACAATGAATACAACGCCACACCTACAAATGATAAGCATGCAACTTCCACATTCCACCCCCAAGTAAAGAACACAGTAACAGCGTCCTCCGTACTTTGAGCTCACTGCACATCCACAGCTTGGGTCGGGATGGTCATGAGGTGTGGGTGGGTGTCAGGCGATAAAGGCCTTCAACTTCCCTCAAGCAGTGCATGCATTTGCACGATGAGATGCGGGTGTACCATGATTACTGGTGTGTGTCGGAGAAGCCACGAACTCGATGTACGCACCTGACAATTTGAAAATAAGACCACAGCAATGACTTTATAAGTTCTGTCTCTATTTGCTCTCTGTCAGATGGGACGTCTGATGGCGCGACAACCGGCGGAACAGCCGGCATGCGAATGCCTGTACCTCCCTGAACAGATAAACCAGAAGGTGGGCACACTGCATAGCCTGTGGACGGCCTCATGCCGTAAATGTCGTGCGTACACCGTTGCACCCCGGGAAATATTCGCAAAGCTGCCAGTGCACTACTGATGAGTTTTGGACTACAAGGAAGTAGGTGGACACAACACAAGTGAGGTGAAGTTAATAGCGCGAGATGAAGAGTAGCAGTAAGGTAGCGCCGCAGCCACGAACCCGGAACCTGTCGAATGTAGTGGTAAGACGAGCTGTTCTCAGTACAGAAACACAACACAGGCCAGGAACCACAAAAAATCATGGAAGTAAGTTGAAGTACGCAAGGGCACTAGAAATTCATAGCGCTCGGTAACGGAGACAAGGACGCTGGAGGCTTCTTGGGCTCTCTGTCGACTGTGTAAGGGCAACACCATGCAATTGATGGTTATTGGATCATGTCTTCTGCTGCGCAGTGCTTACACTCTCTGGTGCACCTCTCAACTGAATTGGCATTCTCAGCCCGTTGAGTCGGTGGTGGCTGAGCGTGCTGTTGCTGCAGTTGAGGTTGCGGTGTTGCCGGAAGCACAACAGTTGATGAATTGTTTCTGCTTGCATGTGGAGAAGGTCGGGGGTTCTTAAGAAAACTGAAAAAGCCACCTTGATGTAATACACCTCCAACGCCCTGAATGAATGACGACTCCACAGACAGCTACCACGCGTTCCAAATGCGAAAAGAACTCGAAAAAAAGCACACAGCCACTTGCAAGCCTAACGGGCGAAATTGAATATTTCACGCATATGTGCAACACCGGGAGCAGTGTTCCTACACACAAATTCCCCTCGAGGCGACGGCGGTAGCTCTTTCTCTGACGGTGCGGGTGGCCTCCCACTTTGCTGCTGCTGCGGCGGTAGAGGAGGCTGCAAGCAGCTCCCTAAACCAGGCGCTGCGAGCAGATCAAAATGCACACTGACCCCGTAGCTTTCACGCGGCTGAACATTCTATGCTCCTTCGATTATCCCTACGTCATTTGGCGGGGCAGCAGTGCTTCATTGTGAACTACTGCGCATGTCACTCATTCATACCATAATCGCACTGTGCACTATTCTTTTGTTTTGCTTACAATAGGAGTCGCGTCTGCTGGAATTGCTTTCTCCAAAGAGGCCCGGAAGGGCTTTGTTGCTCATAAAGTCCGGATGATTCGTGTTTATGTAAGCCAGCTCAATCTGCAAGAAATACCCATAAATGACATTCCGCAACTCCACAACACACCCATAGCCTTTTGGCGAAACAAGCCATACGCGGTCCCATACCTGAATAATATTGTGAATCATTTGATTTGTGGGGGCCAGGCATCTCTTCAGAACCCCACACACGACTTCAAGAATGCGGTCTCTGAGATTCGTGAATCGAGACATCTCGGGAAGTTCAGATTTCTCAACAATCTTCTGCAGTTCGTCGTACACCTAAAGAACCCACAAAAGCATTTGCGTACATTTAAAAAGGCAAAATTTCCACGTACATACGAAGCTTTAAGAGGACACTCTGCGTAGCCCAGCCTAACTAATCGCCAAACCTGTTCCACACAAAGCAATGATGGGGTCTCCAACTGCTGAATTTGCTTCTTGACCAGGATTTCAAATGCACTCTCTGGCACAAATAGGGCAGCTTTGGGGCCCGTAGCGTTCCTGGAAGAAGCATGAAGACAAACAGTGAGCCAATTGCGAGAATCGGTACAGTCAACAACGTGCGCACAATAGACAAGAAGCAATGGCAATGATGCCTTGCAAAAGCAAACAGAATCCCTGGGAATCTCAGCGCAATTGGTCAATCAAAGCCCTCAGCATAGCCTGGGGTAACCGTAATGTGTGACGCAAACGCAGAAATCCTTCCCCACACTAGGCAACCTCTGGACAGCTGTTCAATTCCATCACAAGCATTCCTTCTACTGCGTTTCATTGCAAACAACAATATAAGGGCACTCACCGGATAGCGGTGCGAATTTCGTGATCCGTGAGACCGCTTAGCGGGTCGAACTCCGCCAAGGCTCGGCCATACCAATCATGGAATATGAAATTTATGCGGGCCCCGCCCATCAAATGATCCGAGGAGTGCTGAGACTGCAGCTTCCCGTCAATCGCATCCTGGGGAAAACGCAAAATCAACGGGAAACAACAGCGAAGTATTCGACGCAAGTAAAGGATCGGATCCCCTAGGGTGCAGTGCGCGCTGCAGCTAGCTTTGGTATGCGTTGCATACTTCGCCGCAATACTTTACCGCAATATAGTGCTGAGTGTGCAGGGGGGGTGCAGGGTGCCTGACCTGAAAGTTGCGGGCAAACTTGGAAAAGAAATGTAGGAGCAACGCCCCAGCGTTTCCTTTAGCCTCCAGCAGTGGATCCCCGTAGCCAGCCAGTTCTGCTTCTGCTTCTTGAAGCCTCTTCTGCAGCCTCTCACGCAGCTCCGGCAATGATTCCCGGATATGCTGCATCAGCACCTGAAACCCAACGGACCATTAGATGAGCACATGCACAAAGGTAATCTGTTAAGGAAAAAAAAGGAGTATCGCCTCGAACAGGTTTACGAATCGTAAAGTAAAGATGCACGCGAGATCGGTCCGTCGGGAATGAAACCAACGGGAATGGGGAATGGGGGACTTTCCTGATTCAACATTCGTGCAAGATATCGAGTGCCGCAACGGTTACCCAAGCTCTTGTACGCCGGGTGGCTCTGGAAAAACTTGGACTCTTCCTCTTGGGCGGCTCTTGGGGAAAGCTGCTCACGTGTCTGTGCGAGACTTCTACATACTACGCCTACAAATCTGTACACCCAAAAATCAACGGGAGGGTTGTTCACACAGAAGCAACAGACATACATCACTGCTTAGCTGTGTGCTTCATGGGCCATAGAACGCTTGTCTATCTAAAATCCAAGCTGGCATACTGTCGGGAAGCACGCAGTAAGTAAGCCGCAGTGATTCCACGAAAGAATTGAGTGACCCGAACGTACCCTCTCCTTAGTGGATAGACCTTCCCAAGAAGTATGTCAGCACAGTCACAACCTTCCTCCATCGTGTCAACTTTGGTAACCACTCCGATAGTGCGAATGCCTTCAGGGTCTGCTTCGCGGGCGATCTTCAGGCTGAAAATTTTGGGAAACGCAGTGCATGTATACAAAAAAACTAGACGAAGTCACGGGATTCAGCCTTCACAAAAACTAGATGGGCAGTCTAGTGCGTGCTCCAACACGGAAACCACAACTGTGAATGTATGTATTCACAGTCACCAGAAGAACCTGGTTGTAAGGAAGAATCAGCACCCGAATACGTAGAAAGTACCACACGCATCATGGCAGAAGAATCTTAGATGCACACAGAGAAATATCAATCGCGCAAGAGAAACATATTAAAGAAGCAACTTACCTATCAGAATTGGCGATATCTGTGTTGGCCGCCGTGATGGCAAGGATAACACAAGAGGGCTGACTTATATACTGCAAAACTATCTTGCGAATTTGCAGCTGCAGCAAAAGCAACACAAAATTCAAAGAGACAATTTTCATTACGCACGTTAGCAAAAGCCAGCCGCCGCAGGCTCGCGCTACTGTGGCAGAGACTACAGGACGGTGGACACCGAGCTTGCCAAACTGCCACCGCCCAGGAAGTATTGAAGATGTGCAGGAAGAACGATATACCTCAATATCTGAAGGCTGGTCCCCCACTGGCACTTTTGTAATGCCTGGCAAGTCCACGAGCGTCAAATCAATAACATTGGGGGAGAAAATCTTGAGGCAAATAGGGATGGGCGAGATGTTCTTGGAGCGACCTGTCACTCGTTCTGTTTCTCTCTCGATTTCCTTTCTTATTTGAGCAAAGTCTGTGAATCGGTGCCCTGGAGAATGGCTGAATTCCCCCCACTCCGCCGTTCCAGATGTGTGCTGCAGCTGCAGTGCAACGAAAACAATAGGACACAAGCGACACGCATACGATACACATAACCAAAGGCAGCAAAATTTTGGGGAGATCCAATCCGAAGAAGGCATACCAAAACATACGACATCCCACACTCGAGTATGAGCTTTGGCAGAGGCATGTGTGGAGTTTTACTTGGAGTATCAGTGGCCGTCTAGTGACAATACCGGTGCCTCGCGGAAGGAAATCCTTGCCAATCACCGCCTCTAGAACAGAAGATTTACCTACAGACTGTGCTCCTACGACTGCTATCTGAGGCAGGTCAAATGCTGTGCCCTCGCCGCTTCCCAGAGTCAGCAGGGCGTCTTGAAGACGGTTCATGATGGGGATTAGCTGCTCCATCTCAAGGGTCCAATCGACGAATCACTTGCGTCAACGGCCATATAACTTGCTGCATCGCTAAGCAGCAGCCTCAAACCTCAACGGAAGAGTACGGTGTGCTCTAAGCAGCTCGTGGGATGCGTTTGACTGTTACGTCCGAGGAGACCGAATGGATCCTGGGGCTCAACAGCTCGAAAATATCAGTAGCCGCAGCACCTCCGCCTATAACAGAGTAGGCGCGCATGTCAGGGAGTCCCAACAGCGTGGGAACTGGAGATCATCCGGCTAACGAGTGCTGCTCCCTAAGTATGCAGGGTCCGGAGACAAGCAGGTTAGACGAGGTAGCATATCTAGGCGACTTTTCACAGTTAAACAGGCACAGAAGGAAAAGTCTGCTCCAAAAACGTCTGACAATATTTGGGCAACTGCAATGAATTGCCTCAGCTCCTCACGTCGGTGCCCCAAACGCATGCATGGGGGGTCGGTTGAGCCTTAAGAGAGACTGTCTCCCAGAGAAGTCAAGCAAAAGCCTTCCCTATGTTCTACCGTCTCCCCAGTACAAAGGATTCTGGGCTAAAACTGCGAAAGAATACCATGGTGTCCAGGTCGCCGCCGACAGTCGGGAGAATCACAGCCCCGTCCACAATACGCAGAAGCAACAGAGAACGTCGGGCCATTAAGCCTTAGTGTAATGCACCGAAAGTGAGCGTTAAAACTATATGTGTGATCGCCAATCCAGTTTATATAGAAATTAGTTACTCGTGTGTTAAACATATTGTTGGCGTGTAGCACGGTGCAGCAGCAGCTGTCCGTTACAGCCTAGCCACCTTTTAGTGACAGTGAAATCCTGGACCTCAGAACACATCGGTTTTGTTAGTAAGGTCGTGACGCTGTGAACAAGCTGTGGTGTTTGTCACAAAGTGTGGAGGTGTTGAGTGCTCTACTCGCCACTATTTCGAAGGTAGTTAGTACTCGCGAAACGTGCTACCCTACTGGAAAGAGTCCCTCCCCACTGTGCGCCAGCAACAATCTACTAAGGATATTGCTACACAGGTCATCCTACAGCTAGATACCCCAGGCTGTGGAGAATGTTTTCGAGCGCCTATACAGTGCCGTGACATCTACCGGTTTGTGTACAAGTGTACAAACCTCCGTGCTTCTAGGTTAATATACAGGTGTCCTGAAGCGACCCCCGATGGACTACCGTGAGAGCCTGCGGAAGCATTTCCGAATTGTCCGAACGGGTGTAAACGACTATACTTAAAGCTGCCGAAGCAGCAAGATGTTTCCCACCATTGGTGCCGTGTGCGTCCGCGCGGGTGCGCACTCATCACCCTTTGACCGATTTGCAGAAGAAGCAGTGTGCACATGACAGCGCCAGCAGTCAGGTGCAACAGAGCACCATCGGTGCTAGCGAATGCATGGGCTTCCGCACTTCTGTTTCGGAAAAAATAAGGCTGCTATCCCTGCTGAAAAGGGGTTAGCATGTTGGTAATCTTTTTCCCGTCGTAAGGTCAATGGTGCCAAAGTCTATTGGGCTAGGGATCAAGAAAGCGATGACGCTATCTGTAGGCTATCTGTAGCGCTGTACAGCCAGCAAAAGCCCTTACCTATAGACCTAAACAAAGCATACCCACCTAAATCCCCCATTTTCAACCGCCACCCTTTCCCCCCCAGTTCGGAGGAGGGGCAACAGGAAAACCTTCTTCCCCGAGGTATTACCCCCCATCGAAGGCATACCCCTAGAAACACCAATGAAGCTCCATAAATGGCTCTGTCGTGGCACTGATGTGCGAACGTCTCGGGGGTCGTCTCGTGCCAGCTTCCCTCTGCGCTCGAGCATTATGGGGTGCACGATAACAAATGCCGTCGCCACACGCATCTTTGATTGTTAGAAGCCATTCGATATCTCTTCTGGAAGGTAATTGTGCAAGTCTTGCCCTCTGCCTGCTCTTCTCAAAATCGAACTGATTTGCCCCACCGATTTTTTGCTCGTTGTCATCATGCCAAGGTTACGCTCTCGCCTGAGCAGGTCTAGCAAAATTTGCTGGGCCAGACTTCGCTGGGGAACATCTAGACTGCGAACACCTCAGCTGCTTCCGATTAAACTGCAGGAGGGCCTGGAACTTTTCAAGCATCATTCGCGTGTTCTTTCCGTAAGTCGTTTCAAGATCCTCTTGGTCATCACTCTTCATTACACCTTCATCACAATCTGTCAGGTCACTTCCATCTGTTAGGTAAAAGCCCGCATGGGAACTGAACAGCGGCAGCACCACACAAAAATATATTAAATTGAACCCTCTCACCAGAGACCAACCAACGAAAAGTATCTAAGTATCTACTGCCCAGCTATATTACTACAAAGTGCGGCGTCCTACATGTCCGGGCACTCAAGCATTGGGCAGCAATCGTCCCCGCAATACTTTGTCTTTGCTTGTTCGAGTTCTGCCTTTGCAGTTGCAATTCTCGCCTTCGCCTCGGCTGCATCAAGAGTCTCCTTCTTATATCGCTTTGAGGTGCGCTGTTGCTTGCTTCCACGTCTCGACTCTCTGGTTGCACGATGCTGCCGGCGGTTACGATGTTGCTGCTGAAGGCGTTCTGCCTCAGCGGAAACCTCATCTCCCTTCTGTGGCTGCTTCTGCTCCTGTCTGCCCTTTGTACAGGGATGAAGTCGCAGACCAAACTGTACAACTGATTGCGCTGCCCGCATGCCAGTGTCGAATCTGAGCGCAAGATTCAGAATTAAACAGACAGATGAAAGTGGTGAATGCAGATCAAGAGTCACTTTTACCGCTGGAACGACTTAATGGGCGTACACAGCTAACAGCAACTGAACATGACGACACCAAAATGTGCATCTTACGCTCCGTCGACACATTGGCTATAAGAATCAGAGCAAAATTCTCCAGCGAACGCTACGCGAGGAGCTTCTAAAGGATGCGGTGCCCTCAACCAGCGCCAGTGAGTTGCCATGTCAGCTCCAGGTTTCTGAAGTTACACCCAACATGGTCGCTTCCACCCGCACATGAAAAACGTTAACAGCTGTGCAGCACTATGTCTGAATGTTCCTCCAGCTATGCAGGCAATCTGACTTACTGGATATGAGTACGAGCCCCTGGAGTACTTATCGGAATGCCATCGGGTAACGACAGAGGCTACCAGGGCTGGACGCGGGACGTAACCGAACAATTTTCGGAGGTCATCGAGTACCTCTTGTGCCACCTGAACAAAAATTTGCTCATTCAGGAGACCCATTTCACAAGCAAAAGTAGCATTGACTGCTATTCTTCCCTAGTTCCATCATAGCCAAATCCCCTCGACTGTGACTACAAGCCTAGGCATCGCATCTATGCTAGCTGCAGCATTTTCGTTGTTTTCCTTCATCGTTTCTTCGCCTTTACGTATCAACCCATTCGTTACTCTTGCTTGCGAGCTCATACGACTATGCTATCCTACCAAGTCGATCGCCGTTGGCGATATGACTAACCTCTTCGTCAGTTAAGGAGTCAATGGCCAGGGATGCTGGGGGAAAAAGATGCGCCAGAATGCATCCCTTTTCCCCGTACGCATGCAAATTCAAATATTGGAAGCGCGAATATGGAGAAGAAAATGAAGGGGTCGACCTTGACCAGAAGACGTCGGAAGGCGCAACCCGTAGTACCACCTGTACGATAACACATTCCCAGCAGTCTCGGCAACCTCAACATCCCCGCTTAATCATCAAAAACCACGCCTGATACGTGAATGACAGACCAAATTGGTCATCTGAGAACAAATCCTGCGCTTTTCAGCAACGGAGGAGGGGCCACGCCGTCGAAAGCCCGCCCACCTTGTTGTGCACTCCCATGCCCACAGCCGCCAGGGCCGCCACCTTCTCGGCTGGGAGCGGTGGCTGAAACGTTACGCAGGCGGCCGCTCCCTCATCTTCTGGAGGTTGCTGTAGCAACGATACTGGCAACGCTACGAGAACAAACCGGGAACGGAGCCTTAGGCACAGAGCACAGGGCACGGCAAAACAATAAGCGGGGTGTTATGCATACGCAAAGTCACGACGAAACAACTCAAACTGAAATCTACAGGAGGGGCCTCAGCAGCTCGTGGAAACTGATGCTTGTGCCTCACTCTTGCGCCTCATTAGAGTTGTCGTCGGAGTGGCATCGGACAAGACAAGGGAACGGAGAGTCTTCTTCCGAAACAGAGACAGAGGAGACGCGAGTGTTAAGACGGACTCGTTCTGGCGACAACTGCCCCCGAAGCATGTCCACTAACCACCTCCAGCTCATGCAGATGCTGCAACCAAAGCTCACCCCAAACAACAGAGAACACTGCTAGTGAGCCCTCGAGCTTTCCCACGAGCTTTCCCACTAGACTGGGACTATTGAGAGTGAAGAGCACATATTCCAAAACCCGTCCCATGGAAAATACTTACAGATCGGAAGATACGGAGGGAGGAATTGCCGCAAAAGGCCTAACAACCTGCGACTTCTTTCTGTCTCTCTCCGCAAACGCGAACGACAAATTCTTGGCATATCGCTGCAAGCCCGGCCCTGAAAAGCGACAGACGCCGGAGAAACAGGAAGTGATTTGATGCAGACACAACAGAAAACTCACAACCGAATCCCGTCCGCTAGCCACACTGGAAACGTACAGGTAAGGAGCCGATACTTCGGGCTATGATATCTCTCGACGTCACGCTTGAGCTTGGGGGACTGGAAGAATGCAAAAAAAGCAGCGCTGACATCCCTTAATGGAGCTACGAAGCCGAACCGACTTCGTAGCATTCGGACGACCATTGCCTCCACCTGGCAAGCGCAGCATTCGCCTACAGCAATTTCACCTTCACTGCGGTTGTCACTGCTCTTATCGACCCCGGATATCGCTAAAGAACACAAGCTCTTCAGTCGCTGCAAGAGCGTCGCCACCAGCCCCTTCAACGCCGATGGCAAATCCAACGACTCAAACGTGTTCTGATGAGGTGGGATATCTAGACTCCCGGACTCTCCGTGATGCTTTTCGCAAGCAAACGGGAAACCACAAGGGGCTGAAGGGGCCGCTGAATCCGTTGTTCCTTCGGTTTCCAGAAGGGAATTCGCTTCCCTGTTAAGCAGTGTGAGAACGGAAACGGATGGCCCTCTCTCCTGCTGCCCCGCAGTCAACGACACAGGCGTGGCCAGACGCGAAAAAAGAGCATGAGCAAGCGACACCACTAACATGGAAAAACGCCTCCCCCCCGTTAGCCAATCGAAATAATACGGATTTTCCCATCCAGTCTCTCCAGGAACTACTGCAACGCGACACTCTGGAGAAGCAGCAGCAAGATGATACACGCTACAACCCCTTCTACGGGGTTTCAACCTGACGTCATTCTCGTTCCCCGTCAGCCCATGCATGTAGCTTGCCCCTCCATCCACGCAGACACTGCCATCCTTCCCTGATTTTCCCTTTTTACCAGATTCTTTCCGGTCAATTCTCCTCTGCTGCAGCTGCTCCTGCTCCTCCGGAGACGCTGGAAGCGTGACCGACCACACGCGCCCACCCAAACGACCTCTCGCCTCTATCAACTGGTAATCCACCCCTGCCCTCTGGCAGTGAAGGGCCCCTGCCAAGCCCGCAACACCTCCGCCTACAATCAGCACGTCGAAGAAACGGGCCGGACGACCACTGGCTGAACGTTCGTTCCCGTTACTGTTGGAATCCTCCACCTTAGTGTCGACTGCCACAAACTCGTCTCCCGCTGCAACTCCACCACTCCCCGCAGCATTCGCACCGAAGCTGCCTGTTCCTGGGGGCCCCTGTGTAGGGGGGGGCGGGGTGCGGCCTGCCCCTTCCCCGGCCCCCGCACCTGTCCCGCTCGCACCCCCGGCGGAAGGACCACCAGTGCCTGCGCCACCGCCTGGGCCTCCGCCACCGCCTCTGTCCGATTCAGAGTCAGACGAGTCACCAGTGTCCTCGCTGTCTTCATCGTCATCGCCTTCTCCCTCGATGTCGTCTTCTCCCTCTTCATCATCATCTTCCGTCCCAGCTGCTTGTCCGGAGGCTCCTGACCCGGGTTTTGTTGTACTACTCCCCGGGACACCGGACGAGGCAGCAGCACGCTGTTGCTGTTGTTGCATACGGAGGAGGAGCAGCTGCTGCTCCTGCAGCTGCTGATGAAGAGACGCAGCTCCGCCTGTCTCTCCCTGTAGCTGTCCCCCCGTTCTGGGAAGCTGCTGTTGCTGCGCCGGCGTTGCTGTTACGTTGTCCGCCTTGCCCTGTCTGTTGGCATCCGGCGTCGCGGGTTGGTGAGCAACCTTCTGCAGCGGAGCCGCAGAAGCAGCATTCGCTGCTGCTGGAGCTTTCCCCTGTATCTCCTGATGCTGCTGTAACTGTTGCCAGGGCTCCTGTGGTGATGCGCAAGTATTTCGCTGCAAGTCCCACACGTTCAAATAACAATAGAACTTGGGGCGAAGGGCCTCAGCATCCACCTCTGGGGGTAGTCGGCGCCACTTTTTGCACGAACGACACTCCAGCCACTTGCCACCTCGCTCTGCTGTTGATGCCGCAGTTGTCTCTGGCACTCCTTCACGCCGTTCTGCAGTGCCGGCAGCCGCTCCACCTGCGGTGGAAGCCGCTGCTACGGCCGCCCCCGGAGCGCCAGCAGCCGTATTGGGCGTGGCCCTGCGGGCAACGTCGAGCAGCCGAACCTGCTGCTGCTGCAGCAATTGCAACTGCTGCTGCTGTAGCAACTGTAGCTGCTGCAACTGGCCCCCAGCTCCAGCAGAAGTCGATGCCCCTGGGTGTTGCTGCTGTTGGCCTTGCGGGAGCTTTGCTTGCTGCAGTTGTTGCTGCAGTTGCAGCTGCTGTTGTGCACCGGGCGTGGCACTGCGTTGCCCAGATGCAGCAGCAGCAGCAACCAGCTGCTGCTGTCGAAGCAACTGCGTTGGTGGATCAGCCTTCGGGTCAGGTTTTGTTGCTTCTGGAACCCTAGAAACAGTCGTAGTGCGCTGTCTTTTTGCTGCGCTCTGTTGGAGCTGCTGCTGCTGCCTCTGGAGTGCCGCTGCTGCTTCCAGGAGCCGCTGTTGACTCTGCTGCTGCTGTTGCTGATCCTGCTGTGCAGGATCAGGTTCCTCAGGAGCTTCGCACGAAGCAAACTGGGGAGCCCAAGTGTTCATTCGGCAAAACCACTTGTCGCTGGTGATCGGATTAGGGGCTCGTCTCCACTTGTTGCACGCGTCGCATTGTACCCAATTGTCGTACACCACCGGCGGTTGCTGCTGCAGCTGCTGCAGCAATTGGTGCTGTTGCTGCTGTAGCTGCTGTAGAAGTTGCTGCTGTTGCGCCTGCTGCATCTGGTGCTGAAGTTGCTGCTGTAACAACTGCTGCTGTAGGGCAGGAAGGTTGCTTGCGGCACCTGGACCACCCCTTTGCTGTTGCTGTCCCAGTTGTTGTTGTAGGAGGTTCTGTCGCACAAGCGCAGCAGCAGACGCAGCAGCATCCGCAGGAGGGATGAGCCCTGGAGCAAGAACAAACGATCCTTCTGAAGCTGCTGCCGAACCCTGCGACGGCAAAAACGACTCTAGGTGAGATGGATGGGCTGATGTATACTGTCTAGCGGTTTACAGCTACGCGAACGATACAATGGGCTTGCGAAACATCTAGAGGTTCCTCATATCAACAAGATCGACTTACTGCATCTCCTGAGCAATTGCCACTTTGAACTGGCCGCTGCACCGCCGCCGTTCCCTTTGACGTCGCCCTGGACTTTGCCTTCGCCTTCGCCTTGGGTCTAGGAGCAGCACCACCACCGAGACGTTGTTGCTGCAACAGCTGCTGCTGCTGTAGTTGCTGCTGCTGAAGCAGTTGTTGCTGCTGCCGTGTAGGCTGCTGCTGCTGCATCTGCGCGGCCGGGTCTGGCTGCTCCGGGACACTGCAGGAAGCGTAGCGACGGTCCCAAGTGTTTTGCTCACACACCCAACTTGGCAGTGTTATTTCGTAAGGAGCGACGCGCCATTTGTCGCAGCGGTCACACTGCAGAGAAGGCAAACACAAGCAGCAGCACAAACAGGTGTGCCGTCTCTTCAAAAACACCTACCATGGAGGAGAGAGGAAGTTTTACACCACCGCTAGGAATGGACAAATTAAGCAGTTCTCAATATGCTGAGTTCAATAAAGCACCTAAGTGGGCGGAAGTGTAGCAACAGCAGGAAAACAAAAGCATGAACAAATATCCTACCTGGACCCAATGAACCTTCTCAGGTTCTTGCTGCTGTTGTTGTTGTAAGAACTGCTCCTGCTGCTCCAGGTGCAAGAGCCGCTGCTGAACTCCAGATGCACCAGTCGCACCCTGAAGCTTCGCCGTGATACCCTGCTGCTGCTGCTGCATCCGCAGCAGTTGCTGCTGCACGTGCAGGTTGGCAGGTAACTGATTCTGTGGGAACTGCAGGCGAGGCTGCTGAGCAGCAGCAGCCTGTGCTGTAGGAGCTGTCGTTCCCCCAGCTTGGGGCTGCTGTTGCTGTTGTTGCTGTTGCTGCCCCTGTTGAAGCCCCATTGTCAACAGCGGCTGCTGCTGGGCTCCCTGCTGCTGCTGTTGCAAGGCCATTGCGTATTGTGCGGCAGGAAAAAAATTCCCGTATTGGCCAAGCTACGCCGGGCAAAGTCTCAGACTGTCATACCTAGGCCTCGACTAGCTATGTCGGAAAGCGTAGACGCCCAGGTAGTGTGTGTACTGGACGACACAGCACGACCTAAGAGCACTCGGCATGGGAGCGCGGGAACTGAAGAACTCGATATTGGAGTGGGCGGACACCCGCCAGAGAAAGAGAAGAGTCGAACCTCGAAGCGATCAACTAAACTCGAGCGCAAGCCAAGTCGAAAAGGGCGCAGCATAGGGTACTCAAAATGGCTGCTGGCCACAACTTACGAGTTGTCGCTTCGCCGCCCCCTCCACAGGCCAGACGTATTCTGCCTGTGAAGAATCTGACAAGTTCTATCCAATGAATTGAAAAGAAACGCCATCTCCCCCTTGGACAGCGATGCCAGCTGTGGCTACTCCAGTGGCAGGCCACAGCCGCATGAGAGTTCACGTGGGGGGTGAGGGTGCGACTGCTGCCTGCTGTGTGGCAGGGTCCCTGGCGTCTTACCGCCCTTTATCGCTCCAGATTGTCTTTTCTTTTCTGCTTCACAACGCCATGTGGACCCTGTACATGCATGCTTCAACGGATTGCCTATGGAGCTTAGAAGAGCGGCAGACCCCCACATGGCATTATAGTTGCTGCAGCCCGGCTCCACTTACGCAGCCCGTCGAGACCGGCATCGGCAAGCCACCCTGTTTTACGGTTGAATAATTTTAGTGGATTTAGTTCTCCCTCATGACCATGTGCAGCAATCTGAACCCTGGGTCGTCCATAATATTCATGGAGGGTGTCTGCTTGCAAGTGTGCGTAGAACGTTGTAACGAAGGAACATTCGCTGCGTTACGGTGTGCATCAGCTGCGCATCTTTAGTTCTCATTATATTTTAGCTCATTTTCATCTCCCTCTAGTCTAAGTTTACTCCCCACTTGCCCAGTAGTACAGTGTCTAGTGCGAGGCGGCCAAGACTGTCTCAAGTGTGCAGGTGGACCCATACATGGTCTTTGTACACTAGCGATACGCAAGCGAACGTTCTCAACGACTGTCTACATTGTTTGTACATACAGCTGGGAAACTTCGTTTGGGCCTGCATGTGGGGTTGCCGTGCACCTCGAGTTGCAGTGAGCCGCGTTGCAGCACGCCGCAAGGCAAGCTGCCTGCTCTCCCTCAGTTCCAGCCTTTTGAGCCACTGAGCTCAGGATTCCTAAGGATTAGGGAATTCGGTCTGTTGCATCTAAGGATATCTCGTCTTGGGTATTTCGGCTCCATAGCAGCCCACAATGAGCATTAAGGAATACAGTTGCAACTGTTATCCCGTATGCTAGTAGCAGGGGCGAGAAAAGGGTTGTTTTATCTAAGCGACTGTTGCATAGCCTATCCGCAGTTGGCACGCCATTACACAGCCAACCTGCACGCAAGGAGGAAGCCTGCACGGACACAGACGTTTTCAACCCCTCCCTGCAGTGTTAGTGCATGCAGCAAATAATAGCCGGTTGTACTTACATTGGGGGTTTCTCGCGCTGAATAAGCTGCAGCAGGGTGTGTCGCAGTTGTTGAGATGCCGCCATCTGTCCCTTAACATCAGAACATCAGTGACACCTGGATACTAGTAGATGTGTGAGCGCGATAATGCAGGTATGCCGTTAGATGCCCAGCGAGCACGATTGGGCTTGTAGTCGAGAATCAGTGAGATGGTACACATTTTAGTGGTCCAGACAGCATTTGTACACTATACGGTAGGGTCGGCGGAATCCGGGCCTAATGGGGTAAGGAGCAACAAGGATGCAAACCACTGCAGAGGCAAGGAACGACCGGCATATGCATGCAACACGTCGTTATGGACTTATGAAGACAGCGGTTTGTGGGGATCCGACCCAGGTAACGGCTGAGAAGCAGCTGATGGAGTTTGAAAACTGCTAACTAGCACTTTTGGGCACAGTCCAGTGCTAGCAGAAAAAACCAGGGGGAGGTGGTGCATTTGCGTTCGAATTAAGCCGTTCAACAAACCCGCGGTGAACCAAAAATGCAAGACGCCCCACGAACTATTTGGCTTCTCGCATGGTTTAGCAGGTTATTCATTATTAGATTATTAAAAATCGTTAACGCACTTCTGCATATCTCAGTAGATCCTGGCTGCCAGGAGCAGGACTGCGTCCCTTACCCGCACTCTACGCTTTTCTCCAAGTGGGAATGGTGGCAAATGCACATTTGAAAAATGTGCAGAATAATTGGGAAATTCCACAGTAAATCTCTCCCACGTCCACTTCTCGTTGCTGGTATTTGAAGATGGCACATGGGACACAACAGTTGTTCTCGTATCCATCCGGGGAAATAGGATGACTCTACCTCGGAGACATGAACTTTTGATACTGATTGACCACCCTACTTGCTAAATTCTGTGATGATGTTTGCTAGGCTTTGCTTCTGAAGCCATTCGTAGATCCCGGTATTTTAGCAAACATCTCGGAACACACGGCAGTAGCCTTTTAATGGATTCGCATGTGCGAGGTTGGGTCAGAAAGCATGTACATCAACCCGAAAACTCCTTGTGCAGCCATATGTAAAAAATTCAGTCCCTGCAAAGCCGAGCTTCAGCAATCTGGGAGTGAGCGGAAAAACAAGGGACATCGATTTGTCCATCACACAGCTGTTTGTAGTACATATTAAGGGTGATCAAGCACAGAAACTGTAACTTGCTATCGTAATTATTGTCATCGGCATCTTGCCGTGTGCTAGACAGTCTGTTGGTGGAGGACACTGCTCAGGTCACTGTGGCTAATGAAGATAGAGAAGCTGCGGCACCGTATTACTACGCCGCTTTAGCTTACCGGCCATTAAACACACTGTCGAAGGGGCCTAAGCCAACTGTGGGCCTCCACGCATATAAACAACCCTATTATGGAATAGAAAATACTCGTGGCCCGTGATGAATCAACTCAGCCACAGGGCAACATATCGATCTTTTTTGCCGGAAGTGATTATAAGGAACCCTTCAACAAGCTGATGCGCAGCTACCGTGTGTAATGAGGAACAGCGGAGACTGCAACGACCCGTAAGGACGAACGAGAACCATGCGCTATAGCTGCTCATCAGTTTGTGAAGAACCGCCCCATAAAACCTTCCGGAAAAACATAATCGATTTGTTGCCGTGATTTCGTTGAATTGGTTCGTCACGGGCCGGGAGGATAGAGTGTGCTTTGTACTAGATGATGAGTGCAGTGGTATCGTGGGCTAGAGCTGAATCTGCGAACTGGAGGTTGCAACTGCGTCTCGGCTTCTTGCTGGAACCACCCACTACTCTTTCAGGCATGTTAAGGTGTACTGAGAAGCTTCTCCCAATGAAACTACTTATTGGAACAAGTGGTATAGCAAAATACAAATTGCCATAGAGAACTTATTCGGTGCTTCCAACGGCTTTCTGACAGAGAAAGCCAAGATCAGTGGGATAATAAAAAGGAAAAACCAGAGCTAAGTAGTAAATAAGTTAGAGCTCTCTGCCTGGTTTGGGCGTCTATAATGAGGTTAAAGAACTAAGTTCGGAGTGAGAACGCTCCTCAGCGTATTGAGTAGATGAGCCACGTGAAAGGCAGCACTACGAGATGACAGGAATAAGAAAAGAAATAAATGAAGCAAAACACCTACTCTGCGACCTAACAACTTGGCGAAAACTCGCGAGACTGTTGGTTCATTTGCCGCCGCTGCAGAGTAGAAGCTATAAACGCGAATGAAAAAGGGCAATCCCCAATAGTCAGAATATTAGGAATGCACGCTTGAAGACTGGGTGGAGGAAGTAACTGACTCCAAACGGAGCTACAAGCATAGGTAGCCCCACATTAGGAGTCCAGCTCTCCTAGAATAAGGCATCCGGAGCAGGGATGGTAACTAGAGGTTAAGTACCTCGGTATGGTTACAGCATTACACCTGTGGCCATTTCCTCGTCTGAATAATTGAACCAACACCACCTAGAGATAAACGCACTCACGAATATGCGAGAACCCTCAAATGAGGGTGATTTGGATAACATACAATGTTCACAGTCAGCTGAATCACGTATACGTCTGGGCTAATCGCCGCCTTTCGAGAGCTACATTGCCGAAGCCAACAGTGGATGGACGAACACCAGCGCTCGCGGCGGTCAGGTACAGGAATTTACAGACTAAACACTTCCAAAAAGGACACCCCCTCAGCTATTCGAATACAAAACCATTCTGGAGCTTATGCTCAAGGCGAAAACAATCTTCCAGACACTGAAGAGTGCTGCTGCACGAACGAAGCAAGACCGTTTGCTGTTCGCTCTCCCATGAACTCGATGGGCGTGTCCGAACCCTTCTTGAAAAACCAGACCGTTGGGAATCCCGTCACCTTGTACTTCTCATCTGGTAGCCTGTTGGCAGATCCGTCCATCTTCGCCACCACTAATGCCTCGTTTGCTGACTTCGACTCAGCTACAAGTTTCGCGAATTCTTCGTATGTAGGTTCCAACTTCTTGCAGTGTCCACACCAGGGAGCGTATACAAGCAGCAGAACGTCCTGCACAATGCGCCAACATCACATCAAGCATCTCAATCCACAGCTGCACACTCCCGAAAACAACGTCGCCAACCACTATCAAACATAGCATTCCAACTAAGCAAAACACTACTCTTCCCCTCACATCTTCTAAGACACCGCTGCACTTTTCCATAGACCCAATACACTCCTCAACAATCATGATCCACATAACACCGTCGAATTCACAACTGAGTCCTCAATCACCTTGCCGGAATCAAGTACTTGCGACTTGAACGTATCACCAACCACGACTTTCACTGGGCCATCATTCGTCGTTGGTGCAGGTTGTGATACAGCAACTGGAGCCGGTGGAGCAGGGATCTTCATCTCGATTTTGGTGGTTGCGTGCTGCTGCACGAACGAAGCAAGACCGTTTGCTGTTCGCTCTCCCATGAACTTGATGGGCGTGTCCGAACCCTTCTTGAAAAACCAGACCGTTGGGAATCCCGTCACCTTGTACTTCTCATCTGGTAGCCTGTTGGC